CTGTGTACACATAAATCACTTGTTTCGAATATCCTTTAGAAGTGTTGATAAGTGGAAATACTGTAATTGAAGTGGGGATATTAACGTTAGCGAAAAAAATGATTGAAAAGTGTTAAAGTGTTGTGACAAGCTGAACTTTTTTTCTCATGAGGCAAGTCAATATGGGGTAGTTGACACAAAAAAAGTTTTAAGCGTTTTAAATGTAGTTACTGGGTGATTTGCGGTAGTTAATAATCGTCTAGAAAAAATAGAATGAGAAGACCAAAAAATAATTAATGTAATGCGTGAAACGAGTGGATTTGAGTTGGATTGTAGTTTTTTGAGGGGCTTACTTGAAGTAGATTGATTCACTGCTGCGGACTGTATTTAAGGTCCGATTATTTATTTATTTTATTTGTTTAATATATAAATTAAATTAAATAAGTTTATAAGTAACATTTTATATTTATGCTTATTAAATTTAAATTTCTATTTCACCATTTGGTGATTTTACTATTTAATTATGCATTTCAAAGGAGTGCCTAATTTAGATATGTACAGACTATCATTACTTATATCATAACAAATAACAATATTCAATTAAAAATACAAATCTTTTGTAATTAGCTATGCCCCCTTTTTGTAACTTGCTTAGTTGAACTCTCTGCAGTAGCTTGTGGATGTCTCAATTTATATTAAGCTAGTATGAATCCAGTAGCAGTCAATCGATGGACTTAATTCCCCTGAATCAGTAGAAGATCAGTATGGCTTGTTTCCCACTCGCTTGGCGACACAAACACATACACATTGCAGGTGCAAGAAGGTAGTTTACACGTAGCAAGTCCGAGTCTGGGTACGAGGGGTTGGGGCTTGGGGCTGTTGTTATCAACCCCCTGCCCTGGCAGATGCTTGAGGCAACTTAGAACCGGCGAACCGGCCACTAATGAAACATTATGGCTGTCGTAACCCAGCCACGCCGCACAAATCCACTAAAAACGTTTACGGCTTACGTGCAACATGGCTGACTGCCACTGAAGACCACAGCAACATAAGTGGCACGTACGAACGCCAACTGTGGCAACGGCAGTGGCATCAAAAGTGTCCTGGTAAATTGCTGGCTGAAACACGTTTTGTGGGCAGCGACTGCAATTGATTTTTGCACTTGACGTATGTGTCCTGTGTGCCTGGGACATATATGAGGACGTTAAGCAGATCGGAATATTTCTTTCTTATTTTTTTTTTAAATATTTATTTCAGTGTAATAAACAGTTCACAATTCAAATGCATTGCCGCTTCATTGAAGCAATAAATTTAAATTTCTATAAAACGCCATGGAACGATATGAAAACTTTGGACAATGATATATGTATGCGTAGCGCTCGAGAGCCTTCGTCGTCCAAACGGAAGCAGCTTACGCACGGTTGCATTACGACCGGAAGTCGAGCCGGAGGGAGGGGGGAGCCGGTCCGAGGCAAAGTCCTCGAACGAATGTCAACATGTTGATAACAAAATACAAGCGCACACTTTGCACAAAATGTTTTGTTTTGGATACACAATGCTGCAATGAAAAGTTCGTGTTTTTCAACCCACACCACAGATATATATACATATATATACATATATATCTACTCATATTTTAGCAAAACAAGAGCGAAAAGTTGTACTTTCAAGTGTGGGCAATTTAATGCTCTTACCCAACGTAATATAACTCAATGAGTATTTAAGCTGTGACCAGACTAAATAAATAGTCAGTTTTAAATAAAACAACTTTTAACTTGTATGATGGTTGTGTTTCCTAACCTGAGTCAGATTCTGATTGAATTCATCATTATAAATTTCAATAGAATTCATAGCTGAACCTGTCTTAGTTTGGATATATGCTTAAAATCACAGTAGAAATGCACAGAACATAAGAAAAATAATGTATATTGTTAAAAAAAAAGTTATTCGTGGTATTTTATTATTTTATTTAAATGCCAAATTTGTTAATTTGTAAATAATGGAACAAATTTAGTATATATATTCTATTTATTTTATTCATGAATATAGACTTAAAACAGTCCAAAATATTTAAAAAGACAAATTTTTAATTAATATGAAAATAAATATTCAGGTTACAAATCAAATGATCAAATATTTAAATTAAAATGTAAAAAATATAAAATAAAGGCTATAATAAAACTGCTGGTTTTCAAATTTAAACTAAAAGCTTTTATTTCAAAGATTGTGGAAGCCCAGAAAAAATCAATTAGACCAAATATTGTTAAAAGTTAGTCCTTTAGAAAGAGTTAGAGAGAGACAGAAAAAAGAAGGAATAGTCAAATTTCAGAGACAATGAAATCAACGTAGTGTACTTTTGTAATTAAATTATTTTGGACATCTAAACATTTTTCTCTTTGCTGACATTTTTGATGTGGAATTTTTCACTTCACACATGAGTGTGTGGTAAGTGTGTGAGTGTGTGAGTGGGTGGGCCAGAACTTTGGCCTTTTGTTTCATATGGTCACGAGCCAGCTAGCCAGCGAGTCCTTTCGTCAACCTATATGCAATTCACTTGTTTTTTTTCTCTTGCTTTTGATTTGATTTTTTTTTTTTCGTTGTAAGCGCAGGAAGTTTTTTAATGTCGGCTTGGCTTAAAAATAATGATCATCATTTTTTTGAAAACAATAAAGCTCTGTGACGCTTGGCTGACCACGCAAAAAAGTTGTGCCAACAATTTGCCTGAGTTAAAATTAATGAAATTTATTTTTATGTTGCAGTTGTTATGTTCAAGTTTCCATTGTTTTTAGCGGTGCAAAGGGGCTGATGGTCTGTTGAATGAAAAGCTGGTATATATTTTCGTTTAATTTATAGCTGCACTTTAAGGCTTATGCTGCGAATTTTAGAAAGCAAAAGTTTTCCATTGTCAGTAAATAACATGGGTAACATGACTAGAGAAACTGCTAAATCTGTATATGTATCCAAGCGCTCTGGAGATGACTAAGAAAATCCCAGGATCTTAAGCAACCATTGTATATAGATTATTGAATGACAAAGATATGGGTCGGCCCCAAAATACTTTGCGATGTCATCAGCTATGTCAGCTGAGCAATCTATTGTAATCATTGCACTTAGGTCTCAAGTGTAAACAGAAGGCTAACCATTCATGTAATTAATTGTATTCGATATGTTCCCAAAATGGCATGAAAATAGGCTGAGAATTGTCATCTGGCCAACTGAATAATAAATTTTGTAAGAAAAGGGATATAAGTTATTTTATTTGCAGACTTATTTAGATGAATTACAAAAATACAAAATAAAATTAAAATAACAAAATTCAACTTTTAGATGACATACAAAAATTGAAATTAAATTAATATGGACAACATTTAGTTACTTTATCTATTTGTTTAGATGAAATTAAATTAAAATTAATTTAATAAATTTAAATTAAGAAATTAGGAAAAGATTCTTAAATTTTCAACTAAATTGATAATAAATAATATAAATAATTATATGCATTAATAAGTTACTTTATTTGCATTTGTATATATATATATATATTCCTCTCTCATATATACTTTGCCGTGTACTAAAAAACTAATCAATATTTGATGCAAAATTGTATTTGCATTCACTTTAAACAATTCCCCAACTTTATTTGGAGTTCATTATAACTTTTGCCTTAACTATTTTCTAGGTGTAACAATCTCCCTTCTCTATCAAACCCGATATTAACATTAATAATGCATACATTTTTAAGTAATGGTGGTACAAGTTAAGCTTATGAAATAAATTATAAGGCTGTTATTAGTTGAACAGTTGTTGAAAGTTTAAACTTTACTCAACTCATAAATTGTTCATGCTCAGCTAAATCCTTTTCAATCTCTTTCCATTATAATAATTAAAATAGTTTCTAAGGCACTTTCGATCTCTACTAATTCCAGTTTTTATCTCTTTCGCACGTCTCTGTTGATATCTCATTTATAATAATAACCTATCAGCAGCATTCATTGCACTTTCAATTTGCATTCGTAACTTAAATTGAAAATATAATACTATTAACGCACTCTAAGCACACACAAAGAAAGCAGCTCAAGCAATTTGCATATAATAAAAACACCAGCTGTAATATTCCACTCGCATCTCTTGTCCCCGAATTGCATGCAGCATTTTGCATACTAAATAGTTTAGTTTAGTTTTTAAGGTTAACACAGCATGCTGGCCACAATGGAAAAAAAAGTCCTTCGCAACGAACAAGTAATTAAAGCAACGGAACATTGCCAACTTGTTTTTTTTTTTTGGTGCTGTCCTTTGTTTATGCAAATATTCGGCACTAAACAACTTAACCTACATACAAGCAACGCCAAGCAAAGGTTACAAAAATGCACACAAAAAACACAACACACATCTCCGCTCTCCACACACATGAGGCATGTTATATAAGCGCTGCACCAACAACAACAACAGCAGCGCACACGCATGATGCGCCTAACACGCACAGACAACGCACACACACGCACACACACACACACACACGCAAACACACGCACACATGAAAATTGCAACAGTGAGCAATAGACAACAGTGGTCTGTGTGTGTTTTTTGCTTTAAAATGTGTTTTCCATTCTCTTTCAATTTAGCGCTCGGCCTAAAAGTATGCTGCATCATTAGTGTCAAGCTCTTTGGCTGACGCTCATTAGGAGGAACGCACAGCGACAGCAAAAGCGCATTACGAGGGCCAAACGACAAGTTCCTAAGACAAAGCATTCTTAATTACCATCAAGCCAGCAACAACTCAGTCAAGGGCACAAAAAACTGTACCCAACCCCAAAAACAAGAGCAACAACAACAATTGAAACAAGCATGAACCAAAGTTACTTGTGCCCCTCAAAGCTCAGCAAGATGCCGGCGAGCTGATGCGTTCCCCAAAAAACAACAACAAGAACTACATTCATAAATAAAAGGACAAAGGACAAAAGGCGACAAAGACAGATAGAGAGAGAGAGAGAGAGTGAGACAGCGAGAGAGAGAGAGAGAGAGAGTGAAAGAGGCGACAAATTAAGAGCACTTGCAAATTGTTGTTGTCGTCGGGAAATTGATATATTCGATTAGCAATCCAGAAAGTTGAGCAGGCGACAAGGACAACTGGCGGCATCTTCAATTCAGCAGGACGCGCACAGGACACGCCCACTATAACGCCCACTATACCGCGCGCACAGCAGTCGTCGGTGGTGCTGTGTGAAAACAAGTAGAAGAAAATTTACATCCTGTTCGCATCGCATTAGCCCCGCTTTAAGTCGACCAAACGCCGAGTCATGCCTGAGCAGGATAATTACGATGATGAGGTAATTTTGATTGTAATGCTGCCAGCAGCAACATCAAATACACACACACACACACCAACACACGAACACACACATGCAGACAAATAAATATGTTTTATGCATTAATATCATTAGGCATAATTAATTTTAAAGCAAATATTTCAACACGTGTGTGAGTGTGCCCAGCATCTGCCCGGCCCTGACAATATTTTAGCCTTACGAACTGCTTAAGGCCCAACATTTATTATGTATTAAAGGACTTTCAGCCGGAAACATTATGCCTCGCAAACTTCCCTTTTTTTGCATAAGTCTGAAATTACCGCTGGCTGGTGAAGTAAGGAAAGAATTAATTAAAAAATTATAAAAGACAGCTGCATACATTCTTTTTAATAAAATATAAATGTCAAATTAATTAATGACGAACGTTCAAAAGCAAAAATTCTTAGTAAAGATGCCTCGTAGTTCATTTTAAATTACAACATTATTGGCAACCAAAAATTCCAACAACCTACAAATATATTTATGGAACATTTTTAAATATTTGTCCTAGCAACCCAACTGCGGCCTTCATTATTTTGGCTAATTTGTGTCGTAAATATATAAAGAAAATTAGCTAATTAAATTGAGAAAATAACTAAGTAAATAAGTAGACAGTTTGTTTCCTAAATAGTAAATACAAACAAAATGAAATTATGCTTAGGTTTTTATAAATTATACACACACTTTCAATATTTTATTTTGTAAGAAGTGTTAAATATATTTGCATAAGATCGACAATGATTTTAGCTAACTTAGCTAAAGAGAGTTCCTTTTAATTGAAAAATTATGCACTTAAAATTTAAGTGAACTTAGCATTTTTTCAAGATTTTTAAAAATGTTAATATACATATTTGAATATTAAAATAATGTATTTAACTAGCTATTCTCCTTGCATAATGGAGTCCACCGACTCTCAACTAAATTGCATAGTTTTATTAAGAAACATAAAGAGGAAAGGAAGTCTTATTTTCAAATTTAAACCAAAAAGAAATATTGGCTCTGCCACAGATAGAAGGCAATTACGGTAATTTGAACTTTATGGTAAAGTCAAGTCGCGTGAGTGCAACTTGTAGGAAAACTCTGCGATCTCTTAGAAAAAGAGCACTTTAGCATTCTAATTGCAACTTGGACAAGTGCATCACTTTGCCATTGAGTGGGCGTCAACCAGTGGCATCGACAGCAAGTTGAGCTCTCGGCATCATCTCTAATGCTGATGGAGGCTGGGTCAACTTCAGCTGACGCTTTCACGCTTCGCTGCACCCAGTTGGCCAGCGAGGGATGATGGCATCAAGTTAACACTGCTCACTGCTCACTGCTCACTGCTCACTGCTGGCTGTTTGCTGTTGGCAGCCGGAAGCGATGATAATTAAAATAAATTCCGCATGTAATTCAAATGCAAAGCGCTGACACGCTGACAACAATTGCAAATTGCAAATTGAATTATCAGCGCGTTGTGTTGCGTGTCTGCGATTTGCATACAAAAACAAAGTGCGAGCAAAGATAGAAGAGGGGGGAGAAGAGTGTTGAGTAACTTGAGTCGCTCAGATAAGCAGCAATTCACAATGGTGTCTAGTCAGTCAGGCGGAAATCAATTAGCTTTTGTCCGTCTGCACCTCACACACTTTCTATCGCAAAGTGTTGCATAATCCAGGGCGGTTATATTGAGTGCTGACAGTGTTGCCATAATCAATTGTGTTTGCTAATTATTTCAACCTAATGACTGCCACTCGCATTAATCTGTCTGTCTGTCTGCAGGTAATTGCTTTATGATTATATATGCGCAATAAATAATTAATATATTTATTATTCCCTCATGCGGCACATTTAATTACAAGTATCAGTGTTAAATATGCTCATGCACATAAATTTCCTTTTGACACGCAATTCATGCAAATTAACGACTTTTATTTACTACTACAGCTGTGCAGTTCTATATTTAATTTATCAATGTGTCATCAGTGTTGAACATATCAATTTATTTTTACACACTGAACCCAATAAAAGTGGGTAAAAGGGGTGTAATTATTTTGTGCAGAATTATCTAACAAGCAGAAGGAAGCATATGCGACCCCAGAAAGTGTGTATCTTGATCAGGATCAAAAGTCGATCAGATATAGCCACCTACATCTGTCCGAATGAACAAACGAAAGGCTATCAGGTCTACAGAAATTTCAAATTTGTCCAAGTTGATGTTATTAAATCGATAACTTTCCCTGTTTCGCTAATATCGACATATCGATGTCTGTTTTCTGATCAATTGCAAACATTTTTTATGAGGTTCGAATAAGAAACACCCAACTTAAAGCTCAACATTTTTTTTCAATTTGATTTTCATAATAGAAAGGGATAAACTGATAATCGAATACACATATATAAAACTACTAGTTTCAGGGCATCTCCAAGTCGAGTCTCTCTCGACTAGAGCATTCTTACTTGTTTGACATGCAGCTCGTGCAACTGAACAGTTTTCATTTATTATTATTTCAATGCACACTTGTATACATATTATACAATCATTATAATTATTTCCATCACGTGACATTTTAAATTTGAACTAGCATTATAAATATTATATATATAGTTTTTTTTTATAAATTCATTCAACTTAACGACCGTTGGCAGTCGCGACACCTGCTGCAAGAGAGAGAGAAAGAGAGAGATTTTTATATACATATTTATATAGAGAGAGAAAAGCAATCATGGTCGTGTAATGGAAGCTCAAGTGTATGTTGACATAGACGCAAACACAGAAGGCTAGGCATCACACACACACACACGCACACATGGCTACACACAAGGATACAAACATAAGGATGCGCGTGGCAGTTATAGCGAACGCTATGCCATTATGGCCTTGAGCTAAACTGTTGTTGACAACGGCAACCGTTGCAGGTAGGGCGGCAGATCAGAGACCAGGCACAGACAATGCTACTAGCAATCCGGAAAGTCAGACACAGACAGCAACAGCAACAGCAACAACTGCAACAACAACAACAACATGAACGAGGACTGTGACTGTGACAGAGTTGCCTAATGCCATCTAGCAATGGCAATGGCAATACTATGCGTATCCTTTCGCAATGGCGCCCAGAGGGGCTGTTTGTGGATTTTATGTTTGGCAGGAAGGCAGCAAGCCATAAAGATTGGCTTGTAATGTCAGCCGAGTCGTCAATAGTGCAATATTGCTCAGCAGCTTATACAGTTTGTCAGGGTTGCAGGCTGACTACTTTGCAACTTTTTTGCTGTGAGAGCTACTCAAAAATTGAAGGACAAATGTTTTCATACTCTCAGCTATAAAATAGAGTTTTGCAACAGTTCAATGGATTGCCAAATAAAACATGATGTTGACAAAAATTTGCGTGATTTGTGGCAGTTAACCCTAGCAAAAACAATAAATACCACAACACAGACAAAAAGTCAATAATGCTTAAGTAGTCAGCGAGCTGAGCAAATGAATTAATTCTACTTTGATCTTTACTGGCTAAAAGAAAACCCTTTAGCATATTTTCCCTTTCTGCAATTGGTGTCTATTTTAATGCGCTTAAAAGTATGCAGCGTACATTTTTCACTCCTTACTTAATAACTATGGCAACTTATGCAAATAACTTGCGGCTTTCTGGCAACTTTGAACTTTTACACTCTGCGCGCGACTCTGGGCAACAACAACAACAACAAGAAAAAACAACAAAAAAAAGATAGCAAAAGAAAGTTGGCAACACTCTCAGCTCAACCGCTAAAGCAGCTAATGCTCTTAGTTTAGAGTGGATTGTAGAGGAGGTCAGTTGCGGATTGCCACTCATACTAGTGACTGTATCTGTATCTGTATCTGTATCTGTATCTGTATCTGTATCTGTATCTGTATCTGTATCTGTTACTAGCCCTCGGGCAGACTTCATTGTTGGCTGTGGTGCAGGGTGCAGGGGCCGCTCTTTAAGTTAAACTCACTGCCATATAAACGCATTCGATTTAGCTCATAGCTTAGCTGGCACACTCAGGTAACTGCGAATTCAATCAACAAGAACAACAAAACAACAGCGGATAAGTATTCTCCCAAGGGCAAAACGACAATGAAACAAGAACCAAAAGCTTTCTAAGACACTCCAAAAATGGAGGACCCTTTACAGACACATGCTCACATAAGTGAAAAAAATATATGTTATTGCCAACTTTTCTTACATTCCTACAGCATTTACAAATTATTGTTTGGCTACACACTCAAAATTGGCAAAGTATGTTGCTAATTTTAGAAATCCGTGTCGAGTATTTTATTATAATATCATTTATTTGATTTATTTTATATATTATATAGTATTTAAATGTTAATTAAAGGCTGACAGCCAAATATAAATGAAATCATTTTTATCATATTATTCATTGGGTTGTTTGCAGAATAGTTTGTATAGCCAATCTTATGTTTTAATTAATTGTTATAATATTCTATTCGCAAAGACAAAGAAAAGTAAGCCACTCAGCCACTTTGTTTAAGTCAAACGGCAATTTAGCATCAGGCTAATATGAGTACTATATGATTGTGCAACAGATGAGGCTTGTTGATAAAGAAACAAATATTTCAGCCAGATGATATAGTGGTCTACTCTGTAGGATTCTGGAATGTTTACAGCATATAGACGGATAAGTTTAAAGTATCATTGAGAGACTAGTTTGCTAGTAAAAACAAAAAGGAAAACCGTAAAACACAACTTAAGACTTAACATATATATATATATATATCATGGGGTCGCAGACATCTCCCTCAATGTGTTACATTGTCACACACTACACAATAAAAATAAAACACGCTTTGCAAGGGCATAATAATAATATTGTTGGTTTATTTATTTTTATTTTGGCTCTCAAGCCAGAAACAATCAAAATTGTGACAAAACAAAAACAAACAAAAAAATCATTCCCTTCAAAAGAATATCAATAGCATTTTAATACAAATCTGAATCGAGAATTAAATGAATATTTTTCACATTCTAAAATACATTTTAGTCTATGGAAATTGTTGCCATTTTTCACATGAAATAAATTTGAATTGCTATTAATTGAGTTCAGTTTATTTTTGTGGCAATGATTTAATATCTCAAATATTGACATCATCTTTGTTTTGACAGCAGTTTGGCTGAACAGCACCGTCAGCTATGCCTAATTGCGAGCCATTAAAAATTTATTGAAACAAATAACGCGCATACGCCCTGTGGCTGGCGCTTAGTTATTTTGGCTGAGCACAATTGGCGCCTGAGGCCTGTCAAAATTGATGAGGGAAATTACTTTTAATTCTTTTAACGTTAACGGCAACTCATCAAGTTGAGTGTTTAAATTAAATTTATGCTCGCAATATTTGCATATTTACTTGCGACTTTCGTCGCAATCAAACTGAGTGCTTTTTCTCCGCAGCTCCAGCTCGAGCCCGAGCTCAAGTACATCCTTGAGCTCGCGTATATTCAAATAATAATAAATTCATTTCAATTAAATGAAGCATGCACGCCCCGAGCGGTTATTATTCCGACTTTATGATCTATGTACAATACACAAACAATAATAAAAGCCAGCCAAACTTTTGGCCACAATTCGTATGATATCCATTGATATGCGCGTAGTTTAGTTTATGTTGTTATCGGTTCCATTTCCGATGCTTCAGTCAGCAATCAATTGTTGCCACAGTCTGAGAGAGTGTGTCTGTATAAATAAACATGAGGTTATTGCCCAGGGCGCACTGCTTGCAACTGCACTAATTGCATTGGTTGCAAATATTTATGCATCGGATAGCATGAAGGGAGTAGCATGTAAGCTGTGCTAAATATTCAGGGTTGTGAATCCTGCTGAAAACCAATTTAATGCCTGATTTGTGCATTGAATAGCTTCTGCTTGAACTACAATTAAGACATAATTATGATTTTATGTATTATCTATTAGTGGATGTTCGAACTCTGCTTAATTAATTAATTATTCAGTAATGGGAATGTATGTATGCTTTGTTGGCATGATTGAATAACCAGTTGGCTTAATGCCTGAATGATCCTGATTCCCAATAAGATGTAAAAATGCCCGTTTTGAAGATACCATTCAAATATATAAATGAATAATGTATTTCAAATTAGTTCTTATCGGCTAGGGAGATATTAGTTTTGAAGTGGCCAGTCATCAATCCAGACCTGAATCTGAATATTAAAGAGAGATTCAAATGAAGAACGCAAGTGAAGAGCTAAAATTTACTATATATCACGAATGGGCCTATATCAGCCTGCCTACTCCGCAATATATATTAAATTCAAAAACATTTCGCATCAATAATCCTAAATTTAAGTTAGTCAAACATGAAATTGAAAAATGCTCACTTAATGATTTGCATCGATTTTTTTTTGAATATACAATAATATATGAGATCCATTCAAATCTGTTTCTTATTATATGTATTGGTATAGGCAATAAAATTGCATACCTAAAACTTCTTTTAATTTTTCAGCGTTCATGAAAATAAAGAAATTAGAGAATGTACGTATAATTATTTTAGTGAGGTATTTTTTGTAGACATGTCATTAATATCCAAAGGAATTATAAAGAATATTTAATATTTTTTTAAGAAACAGGCAGACATGAATATGTATATTTTGTCGGCTATTAACTCCTGTTCAAGCAATTATAATGTTTACAGGGTACACAAGAGAGAAAATCGGTGTCAGCGCGTACGAGCCTGCGTGTCTGAATAGTTACCGCAATTTAGTGCAAGTTGCTGAAGTTGCCCCATTTCGTGTTGAGCAAAAATGCTGTTGAAATATTTTGTTGTTGCCGTCGACTACATTAACTATGCATTAAGCGTAGGGTTTTTCGAAAAGAATTGGCTGCCTGTTAATTTGTATGCATACAGGCATTAAACTTGTAGACTATTTGTACATACATAAGTATATGTGTTTTAGCTGTCTAACTTATGTTGCGGCCATATAAATTAGTCAAGTAGCCATTTTGCGGACAGGTTCAAGAGCCTAGCGGCTTAGTTCCATCTGCAAATTTACTCACATTATACAGACAGAAAAATCTTCAGACTGCAGAAAGTTGAAGTCCTTTTAAAGATGAAGAGAATGACAGGACTTAAAAATATTTCATTGCAAGAATAGCAGCCTTAAATAAAGTTTGCTTGACTTGTGACTTCTCATTTAACTCAACAAGCTGCGCCTGAAGTATATCGGGGAATAAAAATGGAAGAAAATAAAATTATGATAAACAACGAAGAACACTTGACCTGTTGCCCTAAAAGCTTATTGAAAATAAACATTTATATTGTTTAAACTATAAGAATATTTGTATTTCAATAAGTTCTTGAATAAATTGAAACATTTTTTCCTGTGTAGCATTCGGAAGACATTCCAAATGCTCAATGAATCATAAGTTTCGGAATCAAGGATTCCTCTAATGGCTTGCCTAAATTGCATCCTTTTTGGGGGCCTCGCCATTTTAGTCAATTATTGGGGTCCGTTTATTATTTGTGGCCGCTGATTTTGTGGGGCACAAATGTGCCGCACGTGGCTTTAATGGCGCTGCTGCTCGTTTTAAAATAATTATTCTAATGTTACACATTTCTCTTTGTTGCCTCCTCGCAGTTGGTTTCCAGCAATCCCAATCAGCGCAACTGGCGCGGCATTCTCATCGCCCTGCTGGTGATCATCATTGTGCTGGCCTTGATTGTTACCTCGGTGGTAAGTTTAACACAATGAGTTTCAATATTAATCGTAACTGGTTTTTGTGCTAAATGGTAAATGGTAAACTCAATACTAACTTCATAATTAAATTTCGCTCTTGAAGAGCTGTAAGCTAAATACAAAAGATAACTCATATGCAATTTTGTACAGTAAAAATAAACACTAACACTAGATTTAACACTCTATAAATTCACACTCAATTTACTAGTACAGTGAATACTCTCTAAATTAGACATCGATAGTCATTCAATGGGAGAGTGGGAGTTACCTGATTTAGATATGTTTTGAAATATTTATAATCATACACGAGAAATCCATTTTGTAAATAAGCATACATATATATATTTATATATAGATATATATTGTTCTCCATTTTTCGGGAAAATCCTGCACTTTATTTTATAAAGTTATAACTGTTAAAGAGGCTGCGTCAGCGAGAACTTAAGGCGTACCGAAAAATATTCAAATAAAATACAATGATTTAACAGAAAATGAGATGAGCCTAGATGGAGTATCTGTAAGAGGAGCTTCCACTGTACTTCAAATGAAAAAGAATACCGAAAACCAAAAGAAAAACACAAAAACCTTAAATGTTATGCCTGTAAATACGTTGCGCTCATTTTTGTCTCTTATCTTTGTTCATTTGTTTATTTCCTTTGTGCCTGGGCTGCGTGATATTTGTATATACCCGCCTCCCCCCAACACCACCACCACCACCACCACCACCACCAATACCACCGCTCCGAAATTCTTTTTTCCATTTTTCTTCTTTTTTTCCCCACTTTGTGTTTTGATGTTGTCGTTCACTCGTTGTTTGTGTGTCGTGTTTTTTGTTTGGTACCAAATTGTGTGTTGTTTGCGTGTATAGAAAACGACATATAAAATTTCTGCATTTATCAAAAAAGGTGCTCCTCACGCCCCCCGATGAGGGCCCACGCGTCAAAGGGCAGCGCATCAAGCTGCAGGACATTGTTGACGGCATCTACGTGCCTCAACGCTCCAACGGCAGCTGGATAGATGGTGAGTTGAGCATGTTAAACGTTCAATGAGTTCCTGATAACGATACGTGTATTCTTTACCTACTAAATCTCTCTCTCTCTCTCTATCTCTCTGTCTTTTACTTTCCGCCTTTACTGCAGCCGAAGAGTTTCTGTATCAGGACCAGTTGGGTCGCATCTGCCTGCTAAATGCTGCCAATCGAACTGAACGCGTCCTCATGTCCAATGTGACATTTGTAAGTACATTTCCACTAACAGTCAGTAGCAAACTACACTCAGAACAATAATCGTGCACTTTCAGAAGTGAAGATTGAAACTTTATGAAGACCTACATTTTTATTTGTTTAGTCCGAGTTGGATTTTTCTAAAATGAAGAAAAGCAAATAGATTGCTTTTATTAAGCGTTGACAACAGCTTTCAATACAATTTTTGAAGTTGAAAATATTTGTTTTTAATAAGAGTTTTTTAATCAATACTTAAAACTTTTCTGAAAACGCAAAAGAAAAAATTTTGGGATTTTCAATTTAGGTCAAGCATTTCGAATTTTAAGAAATTTCTCTTTTGAAGGTTTGAAAATTATTTCTAATTATTTTAAATTTCTCAATTCAAGAAATTTCTTTTGAATATTAAGTAATTATTTCTAGAAGCCAAGAAAACTGACAGTCTTTAAGATTAATAATAATTTACTGACACATAAAAAGTTTACAAGAAGCTGTTACTATATATGATTTGTTTATCAGGTCGATTTTTTTCCGAGTGTACACACATCCACATATGCACACACACACACATATAGACACACATCTCCTTCAATTCGCATTGCTTATCTGAATGAGTCAAATAAATATTTGTATGCAGCATGTTATTTACGATTGGGCGTATCTCAAGTGTACACACTTGACTTGGCAGCCAAAACAGTTGCCAGGCACTGTTAACTGCCACACAAAACTCACCAAAGTAGGCAAAAAAAAAAAAAAAAATACAGAAACAAAAAACCAAATGGGTAAAGTTATATCGCTTTGCCATAACGATAAAAGCAAAAGCTTGTGTAAACAACAATATAGTACGGGTAGAGAGTTGAGGCTCATTTTTCTTCAAATGAATAATGCGCGCTCCGAAATTGAAAAACAAACAAATAAAGCAACCACATGTCTGTGAATGATATAGACAGCCCCCTCTCACGAGTAGGGGTGCAATTCAGTGCCAAGTTTTGTCAGCTGCCAAGACGTGAGCACTTTGGGCCAAATGCAGCAACAAGTGCCACAAACTGTCAGCCGCCAACTGCCGACTGCAATTTGGAAAGCAATCGCTTGTGTCAACACTTGCCACTTGGCAAATAATAATTGTAGCTTCCGCAAAAGGAGCTCTTCCCAGGACCACAGTCAAATAGAGAAATGGAAGCTAAACTTTAATAACTAAACGTAACTAAAATTAGCATTCTACAGTTTGACTCAGTTTTACACTACCCATTTCAGATATACATTTCAAGTTCAAATTAAAGTTAGAAATTAGTGATATTTACAGAAGAAATGCAGATAAAGTAGGTAAGAAATCTGGAGGCATTATAAACTGTTTTCACGTAGCAAAAGTAAAAATAACTCTGTTGCCTGCCAGAACTCACTCTTAAATTGTTATCTAAAATCCCCGTTTAATGAGCTCGAAAGGCGCATTTTTGGCTATTAAAGGCTATCTGGCGTACTCAAGCGATTAATTTACAAATAAAGGCAGCAAATCTTAATTAGAAATGTGCCAGGTGAAAATGTATCCCAATCCAAGTCCAAAACAGAACACGCGCCACGCAAACAATTTCAAAATTTTAATTAAAATTACGCATACGCAGCGCTTGCCAATTATAAATTCAAACTCACATTTTAATGGCAAATTGCAACGTTTATTCGATGTTAATTTAACGCTTAAAACGCAAGTAGCATTTCAATGAGTACACATAACTAATAACAATATATGTATATATTTATATATTGCACAGAAAAATTTGTCGCCCTTCACGTTCAGCATATCGGCAGACAAGCGTTATCTGCTGCTGGCTCAAAATGTAGTCAAATTGTTTCGACACTCGTATTTGGCGCAGTACACGCTCTACGACATCCACACGAGGTAAGCCCATTACACTTAGTGAGGGGGAGGAGTGGGAGGTGGTAGTCACCCAATCTTGATGAGTCTCAATTCAATAAGCATACAAATCCTTGCGCAGCGAAACCATCAAACTGCGCCTCAATCCGCATCAGGACGAATGGCCCTATTTGCACTTTGCCCGCTTCAGCAGCGCTGGCAATGCGCTCATCTGGGTGCTCAACTATGAGATTTACTATCGCCAGGAGGTGCGTTCCACGCACGCCTATCGCATAACTCACGATGCCGTACCGGGCGTCGTCTATAACGGCATTCCCGACTGGTTATACGAAGGTGAGCATGCCCAGACTTCTTATTTGCCAGGGTTGAAGGTAATCGTAGAACACATTATTCACTTTTTGTTGTTGCGAAATTGTTAAATTATAATGAAAGCAAATATTATTTCACAAATGAGCAGTGCAATTAAGATCGCAAAACAAGATTATATATTCTTTGATTGAAAGCATTTCTAACAAACTTAATTCAACTCACTTAATTCCCATTTTTTAAATACACACTCATGATTTCAGAGTAATAATCTTAATTAGCGGCTAAAGTTAATATTTAATATTTTCTATTCTGGAATTGAAACAACTACTTTCTATGAATATTTAAATAAATATAATTGAATATTGAAGAAACTAAGGAAAATAAATTTATGAGCTGGTTTCATATTGAAAATTTTAAATATAGGAAAATAATTGAAAAAAAACTGATTATTTCAAGCATATAAACAGATTAAAATATTCAATCTTATAATTGAAAATAGAAAATATTACTTTACCTATGAAAAAAGCATATAAAATCTAATTATTATTATTTTTGTAATTGTAATTTAATTACTCACTTTAATTTTTCGATAAATTTATAAATAACTTGAATTTTAAATACAATTTAACATTTTCATTTTCAACACCTTTAAATTTGTCAACTGCTTTTAGTCCACATTTATTAAGTGAATGTATTTGCACTTTTTTCCAGAGGAAATGCTGCACACAAATAATGCCATTTGGGTGTCGGACGACGGCCACCTGCTCCTCTATGCCAGCTTCAACGATACAAACGTGCAGGAACAGCACTTTGCCTGGTATGGCACCACCTCATCGGGAACCGCTGGCGGCGCTGGAACTAGCGGAACGGCAAGTGGCACTGGCCATGGTGTTGGAAGTGGTGCCGGCGGTGGTGGTAGCTCAGCTGCTGGCACTAATCCGCATGCCAACTTGTACCCGGAAATTAGATCCTTACGGTAAGTCGTCTGCCTGTCCTTGGCTATATTACTTTTCGATTAGGTGTTAACGATGTGCTCGTGGCTGTCATTAGCCCGAAAAGTGCTCAAAATTCATGAACTTGCCCAGACTCGACAAATGCACATAGTTTTTGGTTAACCTAACGATGAGCCCAGGTGAGCGGGTGTGTATGCGACGACATTTTTGGAATTAAAATTAGTTTGGAGCAAGTTTTGTGGGAGACCCACTCCGGTCCACAAACGACAGTTGGAATGCTCTCAGATACCTCGCCACTTCGCCCTTCCACGACCTACTGTCAGTTTGATTTGATAAATTGCCAAATGCACAAAAGGTTGCCAGAAACTGTTGCCCCTCAAGCCAGAGAGATTACGTAGCTGACACAACTGCCGCCTAACCTGTTGTGTTAAGTGTAATGTCATCATTTGGGGATTACTAATGTAAATATGTGAGCAAGGCCAGATATTCCATCTACTCTTAATTGAATATGCAAAACTTAAGCCATGTGAGCCTGAATTCACTTTACTCAAATTGAAAGCAGATTACAATCGATGGCAAACGGAATTCAACTTGATATTCACAAAGTTAATTAGATTCTGTTGAATACTATGAATCTATCCAAGGATCTATTCTTTGTCGAAGATTGTTGTGTAGTTATGTGACTTTCCTCAGACTAGTGAGCAATTTTTTTCTAGTTTTTAGAGTAGTTTTAATTTCATTGCAATTTTTTCTGAGTGTTATGATTATCTTAAAGACTAAAATATATTTTATTTTATTATCATTATTTTCTTTTCAATTTTAGGTGAGTTGCTTTGGTTGCTTACTGTTTACCCTGTTCTTAAATCATTCTTTTTTTTTCATTTCCATTCTAATTGTTCACAGATATCCAAAGCCGGGCACACAGAATCCCACAGTCACTTTGCGGGTAGCAAACCTATCGGATCCGCAGAAGATACACATCGTTGACTTGAAACCGCCGAAGATTTTACAAAAAGAGTGCGTATTGTTAGGAGAGGATACGATTAAACGATTCAACGATTACTAATCCTTATCCGCTCTCTGTTGCGTATGATAGGGATCATTACTTTAGCAGCGCCAGTTGGGTGAGCGGCACAGAGATCGCTGTGGTGTGGCTCAATCGACCGCAGAACATATCCGCGGTGAGCGTCTGCCGGAGTCCCGCGTTCGCCTGCATTGAGGTATGTTGCAATGTGGCCTAATTAGGCCATCTCATATGCTCATGTGCTCATGTGCCGTCCCGTCTATCTTGTCTCCCTGTGTCCGCCAGACCCATCGAGTGAGCGGCGATGGACGTGGCTGGGTGGACACCGTCTCGGTGCCATTATTTGCGTCCAATGCCAGCGTCTATGTGGCCATATCGCCGCTGCGAGACGGCTCGTTTGGTAAGTGGGCCATATGCCAATTTGGCTTTTGTTTCGACCTCAACTCACTGACCACAAATCCCCACAAAACATACGCAAACCGACAGGCTATTTCCGGCACATCGTGCACGTGGACATTGACAACAATCGCGTGCTGCCCCTCACCCATGGCCCCTACGAGGTGAACCGACTTCTGCACTGGGATCAGCACGATAATTGGATGTAAGTATCAAGCGGATGCCGCAAAATTCAAAACTGAATCCCAAATGAGGCACACTTCAGCTAACGCCACTTTCTGAGCACCCAACACAAACTGACTTTAATGTCCGCAACGTGAATGATTATTTGCAAAAGTGTTGGCTATTAAAATAAAGTGCAAGCAGCAACGTGAAGCTGAAGCTGAAACTGAAACTGAAACGGAAACTTAAGTGAAATGCGCCACAAGCAAACTTGGTAGAACAAAAGGAACACATTTTGGTTGGTTTTCAGTCTAAAGTGTTCAACTTGAGCGTTGAATAAGCCAACTGTATTAATATTTAATGCTGTTGCACTTAGCAGCAAAGGAAAGGCTTAAGGCTAATGCCGCGAAACGTGTGCAAAGCAAATGATAAATGAAAATTAGGAAAGAATTTAGAATGTTTAATACAACCTAAAGCCATTAAAATTATCCACTTTTAAAAGTGTAATTTTATTGTGTAGCAGTTGGACCAAAAACAAATGGAAAAATCAACGACTTTTAATGTATATATATAGGATAATTTCCTACATTCACATTCGTAACATTTCGCGATTCCATTAGTTGTCTCCGTTGTCGTTAACGTGTTAGTGGCAATAATGGCAGTTACCGCATGATTTAAACATAATTTATTATACTGTCAACCCATTAAAATAGTCAAAAAGGGTAAAATGGTTATAAGCAATGTTTGTTATAGGCAGATTGACGTATATACTCATGAATTTCGGGTCAGAAATGGGTTTCCAACTTTAAATATAGTATTGTTCTAAAGGGCAATCCCTGGATTTGGAAAATCGGATCACTTTTGACGAAAGTATGGCAAATTGATTTCTTATTGCAATAAAAACACTAATTTTAAATATATAGCTGAAGAAAATCGTATCTTCGTAATTATTAATTTACACAGCAGCAAAGCTCAAGTATTTTATAATAGGTACCTCCTCCTCAGGGTACCTACTAATCGAGCACTCTCGACTCAAAGCATTCTGACTTGTTTATGATGACATTATCGTATTTAATAGCGATAATTTACAGTGCAAACATAAATCGTTTGTGTTGTCTTTCTTTGGAGCTCATTTTAGTTAAAGTACTTGAATTTGTAAGCCTGAAAATTATTTAAAAAAAAGTGATTGTATGGTATTAAGTTTGGGTGGCAGGATAAGCTTGTTGTAGAGTGACTTTAATGCTTAAGGCAGATTGAGTACATTGTGGTAGGAGTGGGACACTACGGATAGTAATAGGGCGTTGGGAATATAATTTAAGTAACTCATTCATCAAAGGGATGAAAGTCACTATTGCTTAAATGAAACTCAATTGATAAAACAGCGAAAAACAGTTACAGGACGAAGTACAAACTACAAATTTAACGAGAGCTCTTACTTACTTGACGATTGTCAAATAAAAATCTACACATTTGATTTTCTATTTAAGATAGATTAGTAATTTCCAATACACGCCCATTATTTTGCTTTCTGAACTGAAGAGCATTTTGAAATTAATAAATAAAATAAATTGAAGTAATTTATAAATGTAAAGAAACTAAAATATCTATTAAGACCATATTTGTTAACAATATTGATCAAGAAAAGAGGGAAAGTTTATCTATTGATACAGTGATATTTGCCAAAATTATTGTGTACATATTGTGTACAACATAAAAATTTAATTTTTGAAAATTAATGAAAAGCAGTTTTTTGAACTCAAATAAAAGGCTAATTTGTAACATAAATATTAAACAAAAATTCCAACTGAAACTTAAGTTTTCCAGTCACCAGTATAAGGTTAATTTTTGCCACAACTGTTCAACAAAAACTCAAATGGAAATTAAATTTTCCCTCCAATATTTTCTCCAACTGTTTCCCTCTTAACAGTTATTTTCTGGGCACACCGGAGCGCCTGCCGTCGCAGCAGCATTTATATCGCGTTTCGGCGCTGCCCGCTCGACAGGGACATTCCCTACAAGTGCCGGACTGTCTGACGTGTCCGGCAGTGATGCAGCGCAGCGATGGCTACGACGAGGGTCACACAAAGCCGCCACCAAAGCTGGTCACTGCCTGGGACGACGATTGGGAGGACTCAGAGGAATCGGACACAGCTCAGCAGCCGCCGCCGCCAGCGATGCCCGTGGAGCAGCAGCGTCAGGGGCGGGGAGTGACCCCACCCAGTGATTGCCTATATCATGAGGCTCAATTTGCGCTATCGCTGCGAGCGCGTTATTTGCTGCTGGAGTGCCTGGGACCAGTGGTGCCCAATTCCATAATTTATGGCCTGAAACATCCAGCCGGCGGACCCAAGGCCAAAAGGCAGAGTATGACACAGGAGCAGACGCAGGCAGAAGGCGAAAGTACAGCGGAGGAAGTTCGAGTTGAGCCCAAGTCACAGTTTCTGGAGCTGCTCGTCACCGTGCAGAATAACACGCGACTCAAGGAGAAAATGGCAAAAGTGGCGCTGCCGCAGATTAAAACGTTCCCGGTCATGATCTCCGGCGGCTATCACGCCCAGGTGCGTCTCTATCTGCCGCCGGTGCTGCGCGAGGATGAGATTACGCGTTATCCCACCATCTTGCACGTCTACTCAGGCCCGGGTACACAATTGGTCACCGATCGCTGGCACGTCGACTGGAACACCTATTTGGCGGGCAGCAAGGATTACATAGTCATCGAGATCGATGGACGCGGCTCGGCCGGCCAAGGCTATCAGCTGCTGCACGAGGTCTACAAGCGTCTAGGCAGCGTCGAGGTCTCCGATCAGCTGGAGGTCAGCGAATACCTGCGCGACAATCTACACTTCATTGATGCACGCCGCATGGGCGTCTGGGGTTGGAGCTATGGTGGCTACACAGCAGCCCTCGCCTTGGCTGGCCAGCAATCGATCTTCCAATGTGGCATCAGTGTCTCGCCGGTGACCAATTGGAAGCTCTACGGTGAGTCATATTTGGCAGAACATTTTAAACACTCATTAGATTAGATTTAAAGATTTGCTTATCTATTCTTTATTTTTTATCTCAATATTTATTGCTATTTTTCTTAACATTTTACGTTCTTAATTATTAAGCCATCAACTTTATGCAATTTTTGATCTGATTATGTTTTTCAGTGTTGTTTTAGATTTATTTATTTTACATATCTTTAATTTTTCTCATTTAAAATTTGAATTTAATTACTCACTTTTAATTTTGATAATTTAATTTGTTAATATAATTTTAACTTTTCATGTTAATTTATTTTAAATAATTTTTGTTTAATTTGCAGACTTTATTTAGACCACATTAAACAATCTAAACAAATAAATAAACCGTTCCAATCGTTCTATTTTATTTGATTAAAAAGTAAAAGCTGAATTTTAATCCATGTAATGATTTTGACTCAGATTATAGGATTGTATTTAATATTAGTATTTATTCTATTATTTATTTAATAGGCTCCAGTTGGATAGTCTGAAACATAAAATATTTATTAAATATGAATGATTTGAATAGTTAAAAATGCCTTTATTTTTATCATCTGTATCTCACCAGACTCCACGTATGCGGAACGTTATCTGAGTTTTCCGAACGTAACCGACAACTACAAGGGCTACGAGGAGAGCGATCTGTCAAAATATGTGGACAACCTGCGAGAGCGTCAATTTCTGCTGGTGCACGGCACAGCGGATGACAATGTGCATGTCCAGCAATCAATGGTGCTGGCACGTGCCCTGACCAGCAAGGGTGTGCTCTACAAGCAGCAAATCTATCCGGACGAGGGGCACAGTTTGTCGGGTGTGAAGCGGCATCTTTATCGCTCGATGACTGCGTTCTTTGATGACTGCTTCAAGAAGCTGGTGAGTGTCGGGTATTGGGATTGTGCTTTGTGCACTATTTTGTATATATTCTCTACCACTCTCCTACCATATCTCTCTATTTCTCCTGCTCTCCACCATCTCCATCACAACAAATATCATCGCCAAACGCCACAACAATAACAACAACAATCACAACTCGCATACATTTCACATCAACATTTTCCATTGCCATTTTTGGATATTGTGATAATAATTCGCATAGCTCGACCAGCAACAGCAAAATCAAACAGATTCCATGGATTTCCTGGACTTTCATAGTTTCTATGGCGGTTAATCAATGATCGATTTTCCGACATAAAGTACTAGGTACAGTCGCCGTTGTTATCGTTGTTATCAATCGTCGTCGTTGTTATTTGTTGTCATTCGTAGACTTCTCTCCGTTTCGCTGTTTCAATGTCTTGTTGAGCGTTTTACGGGGTCTCTAAGTCAAAGGTCATTTTATTAGTTATTTTCATGAGACTTTCTGCTCTATGTTTATATCATTTTGTTATTTTCAAAATCTCTGTCTATGGCATGATATTTGGCTTGATTCAATTATTTTTAAAGCTTCCATCGTCTACCAATAAGAGTTACCAAGATTTAAAACTTCTTGTTTCTTTCTTTCTTATTTTGTTTTGCTTCCAATTTTCCAAAAATTAAATAAACTGATTTTCAAACCAAATGTGATATGAAAAATAAATGTTCTTAAATTAAATTTGCTTACCAAAAGTTTATTTGATGTGTTTTGCTTTTATATATATTTCTTTTCATTTCGTTGAGCAAGTTTCTCTCTGTTTTATCAAAGTTTTATTTATTGCTAGTATTTCTTACCATTTTGAGTTTTGTACGCAAGTTTCCATTCAAGTTTTGCCTACTTCACTTTCGAATTTTTTTTTCCTTAAACCAATTGATGGCTATTCCGTATGTATGTGTGCGTGCGTGTGTATGTGTGTATGTGTGTATTTTGGGGCTTGTCGTTTGTTGGAAGCAAGTCAATGTCTTTTCTTTATATGTTTTCCTTTTCTTTTTCTTCCTGAGTGTAAGCACACACACACACACACACAAAGACACTTGGTAACACACACACACACTTCCACACTTGCTACTTTAACCTGAATGTTGCTTATGCTTTGATTGTGTCTTTAATTTACATAATATCTCTCTGGACGTATCAGTCGAATTCAATTCGAAACTAACTCGTAAAAATTTGCTCTTAACGTGTTTAACAAACAGGTACCACCGGAAACGAAAGCTGGCCTGGGCAGTGGCGGCGATATGCAGCAGCAATAAAACAGCAACAGCAACAAAAATAGCAATAAAATTTGTTTTTTTTTTTGATAACAGCGGCGCGAAGCATTAAATGAAAGCGAAACGTGCTCTCGAAATGTTTGCGTAAATTACATTAAATGTAATTTATTATGAAAACACACGCACACACATCTAAATACAAACAACATTCGAAATAGCCATTCCGACGCGCCAGAGTTGCATTGAAAAGTTCAAAATGAGTTCGCATGAACGACCAACTGAACTGAACGAATGAGCCAAGTCCTTAATATCGTTCAATAATCGATCACAAAATTGTTCGTTCTGTTCCCTTGAGCGCAATTATCAATTATGGATCGACATATTCGTCCACCAAAACTTTGACTACTGGAGCTTGTTCGTTCAACTGAACTACAATGTACAATATTCTACTACACACAGCCCCAAATGGTGACAGGAATAACAACAACAACTTCGTGAAACTGTAAATGGCATTTTTAATAAAATAATAAACAAAAGAAACAATGCCAAGAAATGTGAAAAAAAAAAAACCCAAAACAAATGCAAACAAAACGTAAAATCAACATGGTTGTGAAAAACACAAACACACATACATTTACACATACGTACATACAACACAAATACAATTTTGACGCAACAAAAGTACGCAATGAAAAAAAAAACAACTTACACGCGCAACATTCATAAATGCCTCTAGAGAAAACGACGTAAGTGCCGCATATTACTTTTATTTATTTGATTTTTCTTTTATGTATTTGCTGCATGCATTTCCAATAGGGTTTTTTCCAAAAATGAAATAACAAAATATATTTATTAGAACGCAAAGGTCAGCAGGTGGCAAACAACGCCAGTGGTTAGCAGGGATTTCCAAATTTCCAATTACAGTAGGGTGTGGCTGGGTTGGGCAAGGTGTGCGGGGGGGTCGCAGAGAATTCTGCAGGAAATGAATATCATAAATCAATTTACAAACATTTGAAAAGCAATTTAAATGGCCTTTTCTGATATCACACTAGAGGTGAAACATTTATCAATAAAATTTATGAGCTGCAATCACTTATTACTGTGTTTAGTAAATTCATTTCCCAGCAAAATTTCAATTTTTGGTCGTACCAAATAAAATGTTGCTCAACTGAGAAAATCAAAAAAAAATTTTAAGTCTGATGAAGTCCGATTAAAATTCAACAAAGTACGTATTTAACAAGCAATTAAACAAATAAATATTTTAAATATTAACTTTCGTTCATATTTTCTGTCTACCGATCTCAATGTGGACCCCATATTGCATTTCGCATTGAAACCGCCAAGTGTTGAATTTGCCGTGGATTTTAATTAAATGACTTACAATAAAAAATGCCGCAATAAATAAAACATAAATAATGAAACGAGCACGCGCCTGCGACGTTAACAAACGAATAAAAAAAAAATTAAATGAAAAACCAATGGAAAAATGCATTAAAAAATTTAAATTACTCTGGGCGATCTGAAGTCCGAGCAAACCAGCAAGAAATCAATTTAATTGAATTTTCATGAAAAAGTAAATAAATAAATATTAAAAAGAAAAAGAAGAAACAATAACTAAAGAAAACAATGCCAAAATGAAATATAATTTAATTGAATTAAAGCAAATACTGTTTGCATGTAAGTAGCGCAATAAAAATATTTAATATTTAATAGTTATATAATTAATTCAGTTCATGTTAATTGCAAGAACTTCGCACAGAAGGCAAGCAAAAAGTACATTTCTAAATGAGCGTAGTAAATGTAGCGTTAATACTAATACAAAACCACAACAGAAACCCAATAATGTTTAGAATATTAAGTGAAAAATACCAAAGTAAACAATTCTTAAGAATCAAAGAAAACAAAAAAAAACTAAACGTAACGAAAAGGTCAAAAATAGCTGCGATACATGTTAAAAAAAAAAATTCGAATGCGTCTGTCAAAACGTTGACAAACAGCAACAAAATTAATGACACCGCACCGCAACGCAATTGGCTGCCACTCCACCTAGTCCTGTAAGTTCCCCACAAACGAGCAGTGAGCGCAAAAAGGATTAGTTTTAATTAGATTCTTGCCACACAGCAGAGCACAGCCAGATAATTAGCAGTCGCATGACAATTGTGGCGCCTTCTAATTATGATGACTGCAATATGCTTTTAGCGCATTTTGCTAATACATTTACCGAATGAAGCGACTACTTTTGTTTTCACTTTGCCAATGTGTCGTGTTAGCTTTGACCCGAATTTAAGTCCAATTAAATTTGGGTTTGATTAGATATCTGCTAGTGTAAGCTGATGAACATGATCAATTACCAGCTTAAATCTACTTACAACTCTATCATTTTTCATTAGCCATACGTAATTTGTATACACTGTAGACATTTAAAATGGTTGAGAGGGTTATTATAAAGTTGTACTCATGTAAAGCAGGGGTCGAACCCCATAAAGTATATATATTCCTGATCAGCAAGAACAGCCGAGTCGATATATCTCTGTATATCTGTCCGAATTTACACTCTGATCTCAGGACTCCAATTGTGTTTTACAAATTAAGTACTAGTTTAATCTAGATTTCACAATTATACAATATTTATTAGGATTGCTTTTGGTTTGACCACTTTTTATAATTAAAATATGTTTTTTACTGCCTCCAAGTCATGTTTTCTTTACATTTATTTTCCAATATATAACGAATTCCTTCGTGATTTGTCTCCTGTGGAGCCACCAGCAACCAGCAACCCAAACAGCAATAAACATATTTTTAATATTTATTACGTTTTCAGAAAAAATGATTAAGATGTTTTCTGCTCGTATTTTATCTACGCACTCAATGTGCAATTTTTGTGCTACAAGAATCCCACTTCTATTTATTTATTAATGAGGACTGCAAACAAAATATTTTAGTGATCAGAGAGTCGTGAAAACCAAATTAAATATGTATTAAATAAAAAATATTTCTCTTTTCGTATAACGCTCAACAAATTGGTAACTACCGTAATCTTGAAGCTAATTTAAAGCACAACAACACATATTAAAGCCATGCTTGTTTAAATGATTTTATTATTATTATTTTATTTTTTTTTGTGATATCATTTTGCATTGTGTAAGGAGTATCTACAGGCTTTCTTTATTTTTGTTAATGTAACGTTACGAGCAGAATGAAAGCCGCAGCTAACACGCTTATTTATATCTGTGTGCATTTGTGTGTGTTTTTTTTTTTGCGTATGTGTGCTGAAACTTTACAAGGCCAGCATAATTTTATATCTGGCTGCCGCTTAATATGAGGCTTATGCGTTTTTTTTTTTTTTTTTAATATTACGATCTTTTTTGCGGCAAAACGCAGCAATGTTTGCCCGTATTACCATTTGCAATTAACATGTGCTCAAAAGAGAAGCAGAATGCATACAAACACTCACACACACACACCTGGAGAGACGGTCCAACGCTTAGGGCCATGTAAAAGGCGCAGGCGTTCCATTTTTAGACAAAAAAGGTCGACACAGCTGTGGGCAGCAGAAAAAGGGCAGCTGCTGCCTTTGAGAATGGTCTCTGTATTTGTGTTGACACAAAAAGGTGTTTGCTCAAAGTGGATGACAAAAACTCGCTCTGTGTGCCTGGGTTTGTGTGTGTATAACAGGGGGGTTGGTCAGCTGAAAGAGCCAAACACTGACAGGTGAGTTCTGCGAGGGCGTTGGGACTAATCTTGCTGGCAGCCATAAATGTGGCGCTGTGTCATTTTTGTCTGCGCGCTCAAATGTATGCTATAGAAATTTAAATTGCTCAACAGTTTTAAACGCTTTTTATGTACTAAGGACCAATTACCAGAAAAATTCTTAAATTAAAAAAAAAGGAAAATAATTCCAAAAAAAAATATACATAGAAAAGAGTAGTGAATAAATTACAATTACCTAATTTGCAAGACATATATATGTATATTGTATATATATATATATACATAAATATACACACAAAAAATATATTAGTACATATTAAAAATATATATAATAATATATATACCTATGCATTGAATATTGACTTACATAAATGCAATTTAGAAATTATACAAGCAAACATACAACCTAATTCTATAATACATATGTATATATATATATATATACATACATATATATATATAGATTAGTAGTTTAGTTCGTTTAGTGGATCAAGCGTTGGCATTATACGAGTTATGAAACGGAAAACAATTTTATAACTAGAACTTCAAAATCGTGTACTGTTAATTAGATTGTTAGCTCAATGAAACTGAGCAAACAAAAAAAAAAAAAGCCGACTTCTTGCGAAGCGAATCTGTAAAAACAATTACTGTAATATATGCGCCCTATATAACTAAAACTATAACTATAACTACTATAAATAACTATACTTTGATATATGATAAATATATTTTATAAACAACTTTTACTCTTAAACAATAACATTTTAATACTCTGTCTTCAGCCTTAACAGAAATCGATAATGAGAGATACCTAAAATGTCAGATAGATGATGCGAATCTCGAATGATTCAAATTAAACCTAAGCATAAACCAACGAACAAATACAAAACAAAAAAACCCAAAAAAAAAAGAAGAAATCTTTGCACTTGTTAGTTATGTTTAATGTAAATAAGCTTTAAAATGGTTACTTAAATTTTACGCATACTTTATTCATTTTATTATTAGAAGGACGTTTGACAAAACCTACTTATGTGATCCAACAATTTCTTCTCTTCCATGAAGCTAAAAAAAAAAATAACAAAACCAAGAAAGAATTAACTAAATTAATATAAATTTAAACTAATTATGTAATACATTGACTTTATTAGCTGAGATGTTAAATAATTTCGCCAGGCATTTAGCAAATATTAAAAACAAATCAAATATATATATATATATATACTTATATACATAAAATAAACAAAAGCATGAAAGCCAAGAAAAAAGAATGTGTTCTTTAAATCAAATTCATATCTCTGGTGACCAAATTAGAAATGAAATATTGCTGAAAAGTTTGCTACTGAAATTGACTTGCGGAAAATCGAAAGTTTAAACCGAGAAAACAGTCTCACAACGGGTGCAAAATCTGCATAAAACATTTTGGCAATTTCTGACCAACTACTTCTCTACATTTGGCCACGCAAATGGCCACAAAACGTTCGCCTGGCATGCAATGGCCAATTGCAATTGACCAAGTTACTTTGACAGCCCCAACAAGCAAGCCAAACTTTTGAATTAAGTGGCAATTGTTTTCTTTTTCCACGCTGAACACGAAGTGTTGCATTTTCAATAGGCGTCTTCAAGGCGTTCATGGTTTATTTGAAAAGCCATAATTTGGACTGGTCACAGTTTAGAGGGGCGTTCTTGCACCTAATTGCCGTATAAATCAAACACACTATTTTTTCGTTGGTGTTGTTTTTTGTTTTGAGTTGAGTTTGAGTTGTCAAGTCCAGAGCTAGCAATTAGGTCTCACCAACTGACCACAAATTGCTGGCCACTTAAGTGAAATCGGAGCCCAAAACACTTAGCAAAACACAAGCCACGTCGAAAACGGAGACGACTCAGCGGGGTCAGTTGAATGCCATTAAACATGATCCAATTTAGGGTCATCAAATTGCACTTTAAGGTAAGCTACTCAGAATATACCTCATAATTAAAAGTTACAAAAATATACAGCTGTGCTTCAAATGTTTATGGTTATGTTTTACGGTCCAATTAAAAATACACAAAAATCTTATACAAAACAATTTTGAAATAATTAAAATTAATTTAATCAAATTGATTTAAAAAAATGGAAAGAAACTAAGTCTGAGTTATAATTGTATTTCTATCATAATTGAAAATTTGAACACACATCTTTATTTATCAGAATTTTGAATAAGAGATTTTTAGATACAATATCAAATTAGATTGTCGGTTATTTTATGCTAACTATCATAGAATAAATAAACAAATAAATATGCAAATTTATGAAATTTGCTGCAATTTCGGTGATTCGTTCTTTTGAATTTCTCTTAAATGAAAACGATTTAAGCTCAAATAAATGCTATTGAACAAAAATTGAATTTAAAGATTTAATATTTTTGTTAATATTTTTACTGCATTTTCTGTTAAGCCCAATCTACATTTTAGTTGAAGAGATGATTTTTTAACTTTGGCTACAGTTTAAGTCGACATTTTATCACTTTTTTATTTTCTTTTATTTATGCTATCTATGATCAAATATTTATATGCAAATTCGCAATATATGCTTTAATTTTTGCGTTCGTTATTTTTATTCAGCACACACAATTTATATAGTATTTTTGGCGCTGGCCTAATGCCAATCAATTGCTCAGCTCTGACAAGGGTCCCTCCAACAAAATACTAGTTAACAGTTGGTTCATTTTTTTTGGCGCTATTGTCACGCCAAGATGCCAGACAGTCCGACATTTAGGCAATTGCCCGCACGTACACTCAAAAAAAATTATGTGTATGACTAGAAGCATTTTTTGGTTTTAAGATATCTTTCTTAAAATAATAAAGGCTTTTGACGTTTTTTATAAGTAAATTGTCTATATAACATGTTTGTTTAAATGTGCAATCTTCAAATACCATTTAATAATGTAAGTATCAAAAAAGCTATGGTAAGAATTTTGTGTATAAAAAACAACACCCTGAAAATTAGGCATATTTTTCCAATTTTTTAAAAAATCTACTTGAAACCTTCCGTTCAAGAAACACACTTTCTAAATAATCTATGGCGATTTGCTTAACAAAAGCTCAATTTGTTTTCTGAGTGTACTAGAAATTTACACAGTTGATAATGCCTTATGTGATATTGTGTGCGGACAGAGCGCACAGAGCACACATACATCCATAAATAATTTACATTTCGCATGGTCACGCAGAAATCATGTGAGGAGGGCATAAAAAGATAAAAAAAAAAAAAAAGAACTGACAAAGCGGAACCCGACAAAAGTATTCCCATCCCCCGCATCATGATTATGTGAATGGGTCTTGGAGCATTGCGAGGCGAATTGGGTTTGGGATCTGATCTGATGCTGCATGATGCGTATAAAAGTGACAGTTTAACATGGAAACACACTCAACATGTTAATTGGTATGCAAGGCAAGGAAAGCGAAGGCGGGCAGCGGCCAGCAGGATGAATCCAAAATAAAGTTTGTCTGCGCTCTTGCCAAGTTCGCACGCCGAAGATTATATACTCTGGCAAACTAAAGTTTCCTAGCACACGAGTCACATCAAAACTAAATTATTCATTCAAAAACTTTCTGAAATCAACAAGTGACAAGAGCTTAATTGTTGACCAACTGCATATGTCCGTAAAAGCTAAAGCTTTAGCTGTATTGTATTGTTCGACAGCCTTGCAGCTAAAGACTTCAAATTTATGACTACTGCAGGCAAAGTGTTAAGATTGGGATTTGATAAAACCACATATCTCCAACAATTCTAAGGCCAAATTTGGAGTTAAGTTAAGTTAAGTTGAATAACGCAAAATAGTGTCATCAAATTCGGAATTTAGATTACAAATACAAATCATGACAGTTTTAGAGCTAGGATTACCAAATATGGAGCGGATGAATTTCTCAAAATTGTATTCCTAAAACATCACACAATTCAGCTGTGCCTTATTTGCTCTGGAACCCTGGAACTCGCTCCTTAATTGAATTTTCAATCTTTAAATTTCTCTGTAAAATCCCTATTTTGCTAAACTGTGGTTAATTTATCTTAAAATATACCACAGATTCAGAGATTTGCCTATCTCTTCTTTATTTTCTCTCTAACTAATCTCTCTCTCTCTCTCTTTCTCTTTACTTCCTTCTTAACGCTTTACTTTTTTGTTCTTATTGGGGTTTCCCAAATCTTTGCAATAAACATTCGACCATTTTACTTTTGTATAGGCCCGGATTAATTATGTCTTTTATTTTATTTTTCAGCTTTAATTTTAAATTGTAACTTTAACTTAAAATAGATTTGTTTTAATATTTAAAAATTTTAAATTTAGTTTACATTTAATATTCAAATAAACTAAACTAACTAGATGTTGTTTTCAATGTTCAAACTAAAATGCCTGTTCAATAAACAAAAAATGTTAAATACTATTTGGTATTTCTATTCAACAGCTTTGTTGTATCAAACTATTTTAAGCCGATTTCATAAGAAATTGAATACACATTTTGGGTGCTATAAAAATACTCCAATTTATTAACGTAATTCTTGGAAAGGGCAACTGCCCCATAAATATTCGAATTTAGTAACGAATCGATGATGCTATTCCGTTGTCGCCCACCCATTTTTGTGTGACTGCCATAAATGCGATATGGGTGCACGGAACATGACATCTCGTCGCCCACGTCACTTTCATGCCGGCCTACAATGAATTGGCGGATGTCAAAGGAGCAAAGGAAACCCAAATGTCAGGCGACACCTGACGGGAAACATGTCGCTCGACAGACAGGTAAAGGGCAAAAGGCAAAAGGATGGTGTTCACTGGACTTGGCCATTCTAACTGGCATATTGGAGACATTTAACGCTGCTGTTGTTCCATATTTCATTCTGTAGCAACCAATTAGTTTCATAAGCAAAATTTTGAGACCAATTGCACTTTAATCTTTGTTAAGATTTTCATCTCAGCATTCCCGCGTTTCTTTTTTCTCTCGCAACTTTTAGCGGCAATTTGATTTTGTCATTAAAAAGTTTTCAGCGAAATAATAAAGTTTGTTGGTCAAAAGTTTTGCTCAAACAGAAGGCCACAGACAGACAGAGAGGACAGACGAAGGATGAGGTCAGTTGTGAATGGAGTTCTCAGTGCCATGTGAAGAGACCATGTGCGACAAGTAGATAGATGGAGACAACGACACAAGTTATCATCATGACGGGCGCGCCATAGTTAAAGAACTCCCTAAAAGTCACCTCATAGCCATACTGACTGGCAAGGCCCGCTGCAACCACATTCGAGGAGGCAGCTATCAATGTTGCATTGCCACCCAAGCACACACCGAAACAGAGCGCCCAAACCATGGGCATCAATGGTATTTCGAGCTCATCGTGTAGCGACAGCCTTATGGCTAGCTTGAGCATCATCGTCACAATGGGTATGTTGTCGACAAGGGCCGAGATGATCGCACTAATCCACAGTACCAACAATATAGCTGCTTGCGTCCGATATTCTGTAGCCACATTCAATATAATCGCCACCGTCTGTTCGCTCACCCAGTCGATGAGGCCCAGTTCGGCGCATGCCTCAATAAACACAAACAGTGCGCCAAAGAATAGCAATGTGGGCCACTCCACATACTGGAGCACACTGTTCATGTCCGGTTTGTCGGCCAGGATGAGAAGCAGCATCGCTGCCAGAAACGATGACCAGGCAAGTGTCAAGCCGGCCATGAAGGACAGCGAACCTAACAGGAACAACACAATGCCAAATCCGAGGGAAATGCAACATTTGACGAGCAGCGGCTTATTGTGCAACTTGTATTTGGCCTCCATCTCGGCCAGCCTCTCCACAAAATCGGCTGCCGGCCGTGGCCCAAAACTGGTCACACCCGCATTGCGTTTGTATTGCAACTGGAGTTCCTCGATGCGTACCATGATATCGCGACGCGTATTCTCGTCATCGGTGGTGGGACCTTTGATCTTGTCCACATGATTCTGTAGACTCTTAATCGATTTGCGCATCTGATCCGAGGCGCCCTTAAACAGTCTCTGGCGCAACACCAAATACAGATAACACCAAGTGAACAAACAACTGAGCAGCACTCCGGGCAGCATGTGCAGGCAGAAGCCAATGAAATCGACGCCCTTGTCAAGGACATAAGGATTCGCTGTAATTATCACATTGGGTGGATCACCCACTGGCGTCAGCATGCCGCCGATATTCGTAAAGATTGCCACACAGATGATGAGCGCCGTTGTGCGGAGACCCATGCATTCACTGAGACGTATCACAATGGGCACCATTAGCATGATTATGGTCACATTATCCAGGAAAGCGGAAATCAAAGCGGTCAGCAAGCAGAGCAGAAAGACAAGCAACCAGGGCTGTCCCTTCGATATGCGATAGGTCAACACCGAACAGTATTCAAAGACACCCGTCTCCGTCATAACACCCACGATGAGCATCGTGCTGAAGAGCAGCAGCAGGGTGTCCATATCGATCCAAGAGATGATTGTTTTCAGCGTGGGTCGCTCCCCGGTCACAGCAAGGACACCAATGGCCGTTGTTGACATTAGGATGGCGGCAAATGTGCGATCTGTGATATCCCAAATGATCAGCGCATACATAAAGAACAACAAGAAGGCTGCGGACACAACACCTAAAGTCAGATCCAGCGGATTGGTGTTGATTGCCAAGGCGATGGCAATTGTCTCATCACCGGAATTCAAAAATGACAATCGTAATTTGGTATCGGAATCCTTGCGTTGCTCTTGACTTTTAATCAAGGATTTGCGCATATCGTCTGTCACTTTAAAGCGCTTGTGCAATGTGGTCAGTTTCTGTCTGCTGACATCGAGGAGATAAACCTTCCAGGGTTTCAATTGCCATACCGTTAAATTTGTCATCATATTATACCGTACGAGGGTGACAAAAAAATGTTTTTGTTTTTCGGTTACCAATTTGGGACTTTGTGTGGCATCCACATCGATGTTGCCCCTCAACCGTATGCTGATCTCATCGCGACTCGGTTCACCCTGAATTTCAACGATTTTGGTTTGCTGTGGTTTCAGGGGCAACACTTGCGCATTGTGCTTGTGGGTGGGCGTGAAGATCAAAACTATTGAGAAGAACGACCAGAGGACTATGAAAGTCGTTAGCTTGACAATTAGTGAGCCGATTTTGAATATTTTACGGCGACTTCGCTGCTGTGTAGTTAGTTCATCATCATCATCATCATCAAGAGCAGCAGCACCTTTTTGGTAGTAAGAGCGACGCGCCTGCGAAGCAGTCTGAATATGGGAAGTGCGGTAAGCATGAGAAGTACGGTAAATATGAGAAGTACGTGAAGGGCGTCCAGGATAGGTTGCCATCTCTCTATGCTAAATGGCCACCGATTCTAATTGGTTATCCTTTGACTGTGATATGGCAGTCTCTTTTGGTTGCTTTTCTTTGTGTCAAGTATTAAAGTTTGACATTGAAATGATTGTCTACTGTGTGTACCTGATCAATCAAATAATACATATAATATCTTAAATCCTAAGCAGATGCTAAAAAAATAAATTGAACAAATTTGGCGATTGGGAAATTAATAATAAAAGTAAATCAACAAATGCAGATAAAAGAAATACAACAATTATAATAATAATAAGTAGTTGTTCGAGCTTTGTTATATATATTTTTTTATTTACTCAAAAATAAATTAATGGGATAAATTGTAAAATGTGATGTTGCCTTGCGCTGACCCTTAACATCCCAGCAAGAAAGTTTGGATGTAATTTAAGCACTATGCATAAATTATATTCCTTTTTGTATTAGTATTAAATGAAGTACAAACATAACTAGGAATATTTAATTTATGTAACTAACAACTTTAGTCTTATATATGTTATATATTTTTATATTATTTTATAAATTTGAAGTCTTCAGCTGAGCCGGACAGACAGGGCCATATCGACTCTGGTGTTGATGCTGTTTAAGAATATTTATTATATTTATTTATACTCTGACTTTTACATACTTCTGTACAACTTCATTATACCCTTTTCCCCATTTTGAATAGGTTGCTTCGATTACCTTACACACAAATTAGAGTACATTTTGCATAGGAGCAGACCGATTGATCCTTTGGGGAATTACTGTTATGTCATGTTATATACACTGCACCCGTTGGGCATTGATTTCAACGTTATCAGTTTTGAATTACATTTCAATATGCTTCAACGTGTTCATCATTTATTAAAGCGACTGCGTTGAATGCTGGAATGCCAATAAAGTGAACAGCTGAAGCAGCCGTTGCAGCAGGTCCTTGGTGAATTCATTGGCTTCTGCTGCTCCTGCTGATGATGTTGCATACACTCAGCAAAACAATCGCCCTTCAAATTATAAGGTTTTTCTTGTTTTTAGAAATAATTTATGAATTCATGAAAAGGTTTTTCTAAATGGTAAAAAAGCTTGCCTTAAATCGAAAATCGCAAAAATATGCTGCTTTTTCTATTAGAATTTTTTCTATAATTAAAATATGCAGAAATGCTGCAGAGTCCGCTTCTATAATTTTATAAACTATGTAACATTTTTGCATAAGTGAAAACTTTAAATAAAACTGCTTTATTAATCATAAGAATTCTTCTGTGAATGCACACATTGAAATTCATCCTGGAAATTGGACGTATTTTCTAAATTTTCATTTTACATTTTGCATAATAAGATGAGGAAAGTATGGTGAATTTTAAAATATTTTTTAAGTGCAGGAAACTTAAATACTGTTGAGAGCCGTTGCGCAGCGGCGATTGCAATTTCCGCTTGTCACATTTATCTAAATGGAAATTTATGCAGCTGGCTCGCTGGCATGCAGAGGATGACTTTTATCTTTTGATTCTCAGCCAGCTGTAGTTAGTGGCTAAGGCTTTATTCACGCTCGACTGCCTAATGAAAGAGTCACAACACTCATTCACTCGTCGCATTCATTCATGAGAATATGTGCGTATCTTTTATGTTCGCTTTTTTTTTGCTTTAAGCTTTGCCTACTTAAATAATTGATTTTCAGTGAACTACTCTCCAAGCTAGGTCGCATTAATCATACGCCCTGTTAACCAGCACCATGCCAAACACACATTTACTTCGCAGCTCGCTGAAAACAACTATTCAAAAGTTTAACAAAAGCCGTGTGAAATCAACCTGAGAATGCTGCATATCAGAAAACGCTTAAGCATTGAGAACAATGGGCTTGGTTTGATTTTCTAATTATGGAATGAGTCCGCTAAATTGGTTGAAACGAGAGGTTTTTGTCGTGGTGGATAAATTTACTTAATATTTACCTTTAAACAGTAAACATTTAATTATAAGAAGACAGACACGACGAATATAAAAAGTTAATCTGTTGATCTCAAATTGTAGTCCGAAGCTTGAAATATTATTATGGTTTTGCATATTTTAAGCAAATTGTATTTAAATATTTTCTATGTCAGAACTGACTGCGAATATTCCTCCCGATCCCACAAGTTAAGTCTTTCGACGTGAAACAGGACACTTATAAATAATCGAAATAAGATAATTGTGCTTTCTTGTTTTTTATAACGCACAATGTGCCTTTTCAAGCCCTTATTCCTATTTTAAATATGGAGTGTCAATCTCTTCATTCCGAGAATTCCAAAAAGACCCACATTATTAATGATTGTCATTTCTGCAAAACCTTTTTTGTATACTCAAATACTCACTTTACTTATATATATTATTGATAAGCAATTTTCATATATTTTGATAAGTAAATGATTAAAGGTAAAGGGAATAATTATTAAGGGTAATTGGCTAAACGGATTAAAAGAAATTTAATTGGATTATACCTTTATTATTTCATAGATACATTTGGGAAATATTATTTTGTATCCTTTACACAGAACATAACTACTTATGTAAGTATGAATATGTGCAAATTTCTTTTACTCTTTAAATTTATTATTCAACGCATTTTTCGCTCTTGACAGCAAACAGATTTTGTATATAAAATAGGAGGGATATGTGTAAGTACATGCAAACAAGCATGCAGACATTCAATATTTATATGTATATATTATGACTTATGTGTGTGTGTGATAGATTATATTTATAATGCCAAGTTGTTTTATTGAATATTCGAAATACAGTGAGAATGCTGGTTTTGTTACTGTTGCTTTTGATGACATTGCTGCTGCTTAACGTGGATTTACGTGAATCAATTAAAGTAGCTTTTCGGCCATGGCTTTGGCTTTGACATTTGCAGCTTAGTGGTTTGCCATTGCTGGCCAAAAACGGCATTCTCTGACATCTTGACAGTTTTATTGTTGCACGTTTGCTGCCACTTAGTGTTATTGAGAAAATGAGCTTGGCCTCAAATCGAATTTCTGCGGCTGTGGCTAACATTTAATATGACAATAAATGCAATAAAAAAATTTACTAAATAAATCATTTAGCTCGCTTGGCCAACTATTTATAACACGCATATCTATATCACAATACCAGGACAAAGTCAAATAGCTACGGGTCATCTTTGACAAAAGACTTACCTGGAAACTGCACGGACAGCAAAATGCAGTGGTTAATTGGCAAACCATTTTGGCTAAAGTTAAGAAATAAACTCCTTATTCACAAAACAATTATGAAGCTCATCTGGATTTATGAATGTAGCTCAGGGGCACTGCCAGCACAAAAGCAAACATTAAACTCCAAAAATAAATTCTATTATTGATTTCGGCATCCCTTTTATTGCAACTGAAATTGACGTCATCAGGTTATCCAATCACCCTAATTCATATCTCCACCCCAACTCGATCTCTCATTTAGATAAAATAGTACAAATTGACCAAGTTAAGTACAGCCTTGCCAGTAATCGAGTTAAACGCAACTCATAATGCTTTAAATTATACGATATAAATAGCAGCTAATGTATTGTAGCTAAAAGAATTTAATGATTATCTCTTTGGAAATAGATTTTAATTATAAAAAGAAAAGGAACAAAAACGTATTATTCAAAGTGACTATTAATCAATCTTAAATGAGCACAATAAAATTTAAAAAAAAAGGTGGTCCTTTTAGCTATTGAAATGGGCGGAAACTTGAGCGCAAATAAAGGCCAACTTTGTACGCCCCCAAAAGAAAAAAGAACTAATGAAAATGTTAATTATTTAATGAGCTATTCTTTTTGCTACAGTATATATTTGTTGAAACATCTAACGCACTATCTACGTAAATATATATGTATATAAAAGGTACACAATAAATGCATGTTATTCTACATAAATGCTCAGCGATTTCAGAATCCGATGATGATGTTCGTCGTTTGATTTATTGAACCATCGCTCGACCAGCATAGCCAGTGTTGAACCCGGAGGTGAACTGCTGTGATCTAAACTTTTTATCTGCATGCACACGTAATGCTATCATGCAGCTCTATAAAATAGAGAGAGGGGAAAAAGATTGTTAGGTTATATAACTGGCAACTGCTAGTTATAATTGCACTCACGATTGCGCAGCAAAAAGTAATTGTGAAGACAAAAAACGAGCTAATGAGGAGGGCACCACGGCACTGCTGCGTCAAATCGATTAGGAAGCCAACCTTTTTGTCCGACTGTCCCGGCATTATAACGGTGTACTCGATGTTCTCTTTGAAACGTTTGAACTCCGACACAGATGGTGCAGAAAAAGTGTTGTTCCCACCATAAGGTCGTTGCTGCAATTTCGCAATTGACGCTGTCGATGACGATGACGATGATGATGATGATGATGCTGATTCGATTTGTCGCCGCCTCCGACCATGCCCGGATGGCTCATACAAATCCACACAGAAATCGGGTGTACAATCGGCCAAATTGATGCAGGCCTTAATCTGCGAATGTATCCACAGTGTGGCCTTCTCCTTCATCGAGCTGAGCAGAAAGGCCTCAAAGTCGAGGAACACCTCGTTGGGTCTATCCCGATATTTGGCCGGCTGGTGCGGTATAATTGTGGCCAGCTCTCGATTCCGGCAGCCATTGTGCACCAAGAACACAGAGCCAGGCGCACTTGGATTTTCTGCGTGTGTATAAATAAAATGAATAACAAATATGAATATTTATCTCGTTAGTCTCTCACCTGGATCTGGGGAGACCGTAACCTCCATTAGCTTGACATACTTCCACACCGACTGACTGATGCGTGCGCGCAATTGCAGCTTGGTTCCCAGTGGCACCGCCTGGTCCACTGTCTGCTCGTTGTCCGCCAGACGGGGGTCGTTCGATGAGCTAACGGGATTGGTGGTACCGCTGACACGGGCTATTGGCGGCGCCTCCTTATACAATGCCACCTCGTATTCCAATCGATTCGGCATCTCCTCAACGACACCCGACACACGTGCTCCATGCGGACTACAAATATCAAATATTATCTTAGTCAAATTACCATTTATATATTATATTATAAAACATACAATGAGCCCGCGAATCCAGCTGCCTTGTTCTCAATTATTGTTGGCTCTGGTGGCTTGCACATTATGATTAGCTCCTGATCCGATTGCATTACCACGCCAGGGAATTGGGGAAACCAAATGCGCACATGAACAATTCCCTGATAAGCACAGATTAATTAGTATAGGTAAATAGTTCAAGTAAGTAATAAATACATTTCTTTTGAGTACACCACAACGTGTAAAATCGGTTATTCGAAGATTATATGTGCGCTCATCCACATCGTTGGTGGCCCTCGAGATTAGGCAATGCGGTTTCACTTCCTTGAGTCCACTTCTATCATCAGCAAACAGGGGCTTGCCCTTAAAACCAACGGGTCTTTTCAACGTTGCCGTTATCAGATCTTCAATTCCGGAGACGGCATTGGAAAACGTGCATTGAACATCGGCAACTGATTTTGAATTCAAATTTAAATTATAAATTGAAAATGAAATCAATTTTAATATATTTTGTTGTTACCTTCATAATCTTGAGCAACGCAATAAAACGGAAAAATCTATAATAAAAATAATTAGTTATGAATTTGAGCATCGATTTATGAATATTTATTTACTTACAAATAAAACACATATTTGAAGGTATTTCACTTTCAGCATATTCTCTAATTGCAAATAATATTCTTTAATTCAAATGCAAAAGTTGAAGGGAAAACTAAAATATAGTTTTGAATCGCGCTTGAAAACACATCCAATTGGTTACAAAGTAAAATGCAGAATGAAACTGGAGTAGCAGTTGGGAAGATGCAATTACCTTGATCTTGGCTCCGTGAATTCTAGTTCAATACAAACTCATAACTCACACACACACAAGCATATATTAGCTAAAGCAATCAAACTTGCAACAATAAAAAATCGCAAAAGTAGCGCGCAACAGCCAAACCCATGCATGTGTGAGTGCGTGTGTGTGTGTCTATCAGTTTACAGTGGTGTCCAAATTATTAGCACAGCTGCACAATTTAAATGTAATTAAAATTAAATGCTACATAATTGTAATAAAATTGTGATATGAATGCATTGCACATATAGTATTAATTATTATTAATTTTATTAAGTATCGTAAATTTGTATTGCTGACAAATATCAGCTGTGGCTAATGCGATGTATCGATACTTTCACTCGATTACGAAACGATAGTTTGGAAAATTTATTGTGTTGTTTTAAGTCGCATCGCATACGTATGTAATTTTATTCCATTATATTTTGTTAATTTTCTTTTGTTTTTGCTTACGAAATACTTTGAGCTAAGCACATCGTATCACAAATTCAAGCTATGATTTATACAGTCTAGGGAAGGACACACTCGGCTCGAAGTAAACAACACAGCTGTTTTGCGAACTTCTGCGATTCAGTTTGATAAGAGAAAAACACCAGCGGGCTAAGCAACATAAAAACAATGTTAAAAAACGCCGGCACTCGATTGCTACGCAGCTTTCAAGTAAGTACAACAATGTCAAGTTGTCAAATGTTGAGAATTACTAAATGCGCTGCATTGATGTTCTACCAGGCGAAATGCAGTACACAGCCACTGTCCGTGAGGGGCATTAATCTAATACCCATGGTTGTGGAGCAGACGGGACGTGGCGAACGCGCCTACGATATATTCTCTCGTCTGCTCAAGGAGCGCATCATTTGTCTGATGGGCAACATCACCGATGATATCAGTTCGACGGTCGTTGCCCAGCTACTGTTCCTTCAATCGGAGAACGTCAACAAGCCTATCCACTTGTATATCAATTCGCCGGGGGGCGTGGTAACAGCAGGTCTGGCCATCTACGATACGATGCAGTATGTGAAGCCACCGATAGCCACGTGGTGTGTGGGACAAGCATGTTCGATGGGTTCGCTGCTGCTGGCAGCCGGTGCACCCGGCATGCGTTACTCCTTGCCAAATGCACGCATCATGATCCACCAGCCATCGGGTGGCGCTCAGGTGAGTAACAAGAAATAATAATTATAAAGAGGAGGAATCAATTATCAATCAATTCCTGGCAGGGTCAAGCCACAGACATTCTTATACATGCGGAGGAAATCATCAAGATAAAGCGCCAACTGACTAACATTTATGTGAAGCATGCCCAATATGATTACGCGGAAATGAGCTCACGCATGGAACGTGACCATTTCATGACCCCTGAGGAGGCCAAAGTCCTAGGCATAATTGATCATGTGCTTGAGCATCCGCCAGAGACAGTTTCAGACAGCGGTCCCGCATCCGATCCACCATCAGGTAAGATCATCACGCCTGACACGGACACCGGAAAGAAGCGATCCAAACAGACAGCCCAAAATTGAGTACGATGGCATCGAGAACAAAATACAAACAAACCAAACATTTGGCATTATTCAAATTGTAAAATGTAAAATAGTAGAAATAGTAGTACAGATAAATTAGCTCAACAATTTTTCAAATACAAATTCAGTTTACATGAAAAACTTTATTTAAATGCTAATTTATTTCATACAACGCTATGCCAAACGCAACTCCAAAAATCTCATCATCGAATTGCCTTTTTCGAAAATCTCTTGGTAAAGCGATTAAGTTTTGAACAGATCTCATCCAAGCGGTCGGATTCGATGTTTTTGGGTCAAGCATGGGCGACGTACAAACAAAAATGTTTTTATTGCTTAGTTATAAAAACTAATGGCTGTATCCGAGATAATTTTGTTTGTGTTCACACATTCTTATTACGTTATTATCATTATTATTATTAATAAAATTAATATTCATAGAACAGCGCTATTTAACACATTTAAGTCTGGTCCATAGCAATGTCTGAATTGCCGGTAATTGAATCCTTCTGCACATAATCATAGATCTTACACAGTTCCGGAGTTTCCTTAATTGACTTTAAAAAGTCTAGTAACTGCTGGTTTTTATCTAAAACAAATGCAAATTCCTTTAGTACTAGTACTTAAGAGTGGAGTCATTTACTCAGTTACTCACTTGCTTTGGGTATTTGGGAGAGCGCTGAAACGGCTCGAAGGGCCGAACGCTTCAGTTCGTCCTGTTTCTCATACTCCTGCTTGACCGAATTGGCCTTCACCTTGTGGGTGCAAGTGTCGCGCAGCTGCTGCACGAACTGATCCAGTCCTTTTGATGGAGAAAACATGGTATTAAAATAAGATATACACAATGGGTAGTAATTATCAACGACGTACGTAGCAAAACCTTGTCGGGGCAGAGCACGGCCAGACGGGCTGTCATTAGGTACGTCAGCATTTTGATGTCATAATGATCGCAGAGGCCAGCCTGTACATGATCCATGAACTGCATAACGTCCACACGCTCCAGTCCCTGCTCGAGCAGTGTATACATGCACTCGAAGGCCGCTTTTCGTATATCGAGGCCATCATCGACGGTGTGCTTAAACGGACCCATTTCCACTTCACGAATAAGCTCATTCTTCACCTTCGTCTCGGAATATAGCCAGGGCAACAGCGTTGGCAGCAAATCACGCACCAAACTCGGTTTGTTGTGCACCGCCGAATTGAAGGCGACGAGTGCGACGCGTCGCACTTGCGGCTCCGGATCACGCAGGGCGAACAGAAACTCGCCAATGCTCTGCTTCAGCAGCAAATCAATTGGTTGCGGCTGATCGGAAATGGTGAACTTAACCGAGGACACAACAACGGTGCGCATTGTGGCGCTCTCGGAGCGCAAAGCCTGCTGCAGTTGTGGCAACAGCTCTTCGGGATTGACGAGCACCAATTTGCCCAAGCATTCGGCGACAACGTTACGTGATCCCTCCTCGGAGCATTCGCAATGCTTGAACAATTGCGTCCATATCGATGGCACCGACGGCAACAGTTGAGCCAGGCCATTTGGTGTGACCGACAACGATGAGATGACCTCCTTGAGGGAGTGGAGCAGCAAATACTGTCGTTTCGGCTGTGCCTCAATCTCCTTCAGAATCAACGGCAAATATGTTTGCAGGCTGCCCACAGAGACGGCGCCGAGAGCATGCGAGGCAGCTGCCTTCACATCCTCCGATGTGGCACCAAAGCACTCAATGATTGTCTGGGGCAGCACACTTATCGAGCTAAGATCGAAATGTCGGCCAATTTCACCGATTGTGAGCAGGCAGAAGATGATCTGAGTATCCTTGTTGCTGCGCTTCTGCAGCTCGGCCATCAGTTGGGTGGCCAGCGGAGTCGCCACCTGTGGACACTGTTGGGTCAACGCCGCAATGCATTTGGCCGACGAATGATATGCCTGCTTGTGCAGATGCAACTGTTCACTCGGTTGCCTTGTGGCGCCATCGCTAACATTCAACACAGGCTCCATTAGCTTGGACACCAGTGAGTGATAATCCAGCCCAGACAGCTGTGCCTGCACCAGCGCCTGAAACAGATCCAAGGTGCACTGCAAAGCGCTGCCCTGCAAATTGGAATATCTCAATTAATAACAAGATAATCTCATTTAAATTACGATTAATTTTCACATACCTGCAGCAACGGCGAACGCACTAAAATTAAGACAGATGGCAAAAACTTCTCGTGTATGCCAACCAGTGCCTGGGGCTGTCGCCGAGCTGTGGTGCTCAGCAGCGTTAATGAGTATTGGGCCACGTGCAGATCAGAGTCCGAGATGAGGCCGGGAATCTCAACAATGGCCGTCTGCAGCACACTTGGCTCAAAGTTCGACGAATAGTTGATGACAATCTTGTTGATTAGGTCCAGCGAGTGCAGCTTCAGCGCCCGATGATTCTTGCGCAAGAATGTGCCAAGGGTGGGCAGCACATCGTGCAATATGGGCGAAAGATCGATGCGCAACGGCGACGCCGCAATCATTGTGAGTGCTTTGACGCTGCTCAGCCGTGTCACTTCATTCTTCAGGCGCTCCATGAAGATGGGCAGACAAACGTCGAGTTCACTCTTCAGCAGATCCCCCATATTGGCAATGATTTGGCCCATGCAGGCGATGGCTCTTTCCTTCACCTCCTGATCGACATCGGTCACTTTCAGTTTCTGAAGCGTGCAAGCATAAACCTGACCCACAAATGGTGTCACATCAAAATCCGATTTGACAGCATTCGGACCTAAGGGTCGGACGACTTTGACGAGCTGTTGCAGCACAAGTAGTGCCTCGGTGGCAATCTTGTAGAAGGGATCGAATACAGATGTGACCACGAGTGGTACCAGCAACGGTATATGGGGATGGAACACATGCGGTTGATGGCCCTGCAGCAGGGAGCAGAGGAAACCGAGCGATTCAATTTTCATGTTACTGGTTGAGCCCTTGTCGTTCAACGAATAACTGATGCCAGGCACAATGCTCTCCAGATGTGGACCCAGTGCACCGGGCAGCGAATTCAAAAGTTCGCGCAATAACAGGAAACAATCCTGACGCGTCTTCATCGATTTCTCGCGCATTAACGGCTGTATGGCTTTGATAATCTGCGGCAGCTGTTCGATTAGCAAGACAGTCGGTCCCGACACCTGATCCATCGAATCGGGATCATGGGCCATATCCTCGGCCGGACGTGTGTTCCGCAGCAATGCAACATATGCATGAAATATATCCGACTTGACATTCTCTTCGCGCTCCTTGAAACGAGCAATCAATGCTGGACTCAGCGTACGATAGAATTCCTCCAGCAATTCGTGACGCGTTGCAATCAAGACCTCCAAGCACTTGGCCGCGGCACGACGCACCTTCCAACTCATATCGTCGTCATCGCTATATTCCTCGCTATCCACATACTCGTCCTCCTCTGTGTCCATGGCAATGCCAGTGTCACCATCATCGGCCTCATAGTTGTAGTTGGGATCGTATGTAACATACTTAAGGCATAGTTCCAGTATCTAGTTAAAAATAGTTAAATAAATTATATATACGAGTAGCTTGAAATGAGTAGAGTATAGAGATTACCATTGGAATGTGTGGATTAATAGCGTCGGGGCAACGCAAGACAAACGCCTCGCAGGCTTGTAAGCAGAATTCGCGCAGCTCATCATCGTCCCGCTGGCTGTATTGCTTGAGGAGCAGCATTGAGCGATCAATGTGGTTGCAAAGGCGATGTCCAGCCTGACGACTAAGGTAAATGATTAAAATTTCAATTGTATAACCAACACTGATTTCAATTGCTTACCAGATGGAGGCCAGGCATTGAATGTAGGTACGAATTGCACCAGGATTTTGAGGATTTTCCAGTCCCTCGAGCAGGTGATCGACGACGCCATTGTAGGCATTGCTGTTCGCCTGGATCAGAAGCACAGAGAGTGCAACAATTGTGCGTTTGCGGACCGCTTGACGTGGTGACGCCAGCTGTGGCATCAATGCCTTCAATATGGTGCTATGAAACGGAACAAGAAACTCGCCAAAGCGAGACAACAAATCTGACAATATATCCAACGATTCCAACTTCACAGAGACATCCTCCTGCCAGTGATTAAATTTATGGATAAAGATTTTTAAACCAGGCATAATTTAGTGTTAGGTTAGGTTTTACCTTCTCGATGGCAATGCTCAGTTTGCCGGTGATGCGCTGACAGACATTCGGTGCCAGCGAATTGGATGATTGTGGCAGCTCGGCAATTACGGTCTTCAGACCGATGCTGGAGATGTCGCGCAACTGCTCCACATTGGACATCATGTTGCCGCACAGCGAATCAACGATTGTCTCCACCTGATTCTCCTTCACCTTGTTGACCAGCGGACCCAGACACTTGACGGCCAAATTTTGCACCTCGCCGTTTTTGTCCTCGAGCAATTTGAGAACCATGCGCACCACTTTTTTCTCCGACTCATCGTCCAAAATGATACTGTCCTTTTGCAGTTCGGTCATCAAATCGTTTGTGGCCATGAATCGAAAATCCTTGTCCGTGGATGTCATCTAAAGCGCAATAGTAATTCAAAATGAAGTTAATTAACCTACCTTAATTTTTTTGCTGCTGCTGCTGCTCATATTTTATACATACTTTTTCCAGCAAATTTGCGATTTGGTGATATTGATGCGACGCCATGATCTACGATATCTGCTTGTGCGCGGTATGTAAATGAATGTCTGTGCAAATTATGTACACACTTGCCGATTTATATATATATATACTTTGTGACCGCCTCACAAAATTCTTTTTGTCTTCGACAAAAAAAAGGTCTACTCAATTTTTTTTTTCCGGCACAAAAAATTTGCGTGTTGGAACTGGAAAATGCATAAGTAAAATGATATTATCGTTATGTTGCAGCACCGCTTGCGATAATTTACATTATATCGATATTTCACGTATTCTATTCGATTGGTAAATCTTCAACAGCTCTGTTCGCTAACATTTTGCTCAGCTCTGTTAAATTAAATTAAAAGACTGAGTTTTCAGTTAAATCTTTGCGATTTACATTTATATTTTTGGTACAGATTTACAGACTTGTAAAAATAATTAGCTCTAACTTATCGAACTGAATGCCAAATATTTTATTAATACGTATATAAAACAATTCATAATATTTCCCAGCTAAAAGCCTTTGCGAAATAATAGTCATAAGTTGAATCCTCAATTCGATGCATTAAAACTAATTGGTTTTACATACGCTACAGTGTAACCTCGATATACTCGACATTCTCAGCTAAATTTGCTGTTGATACATTTGTATCGGCAACTTCACCAATAACAAACACCTTTTGTGCGCCTTTTGTTATTTTCGTGAATTCCTCGCAAAATTCCTCAGCTGCTTTTGGAGTCAGACAAATGAGGAGTCCACCAGATGTTTCCACAGCTTTGCCAGCCGTCAATTTTGCGCTTTGTCCAACTAATTCACCAAATTTGCGAACATTTTTAATGATGGGCAATTTGTGAATTTTAAATAAAAGCGACTGCTTCTGAAACTCGACGAGATTCTTTGCATGGCCCAACAAGCCAAAGCCGGTCACATCAGTTGCCGCATGTGCTTCATATTTGTGCATTAAAAGCGCAGCTAAAATCAAAATATTTTCATTAATTTAACTATGTAAACAGTTCGCATCCAAGCTCACCATTTCGGTTTAAGTATGTCATTGATTTAATTGCCATTTGAAATGTGTCGAGTATGTCGATGTCTGTGAAAGCAGTTAAAAGCGTTTGATATTTCTCATTTTTCTCCTTTTGCCAAATGTGAGCACTCGTCGCCAGCTGAGTTCCAAGCGGTTTCGTTAGCACCAAAACATCGCCAGCTTTGGCATTCCAGGGTCTACAAAGAGAGTTTTATTATGTACTTTTGTCTGGGTATGCATTCACTTACAAGATGATGTCCTGTTTGCGGCAAACGGATGTGGCAATGCCACCCACAATGCACCAAGGATTGATTATGACGCTTTTGATGGTTATACTGCCAAAGCAACCACTGTCCTTAGAGGCTCGTTGGAAACCCTTCATGATGAGTGGCACCACAATGTCGCGTTGCTTTTCCGTTAGATTCGATGGTGCACTGATGAGCAGCTCAAGCTTATCAATATCCGTAACTCCCACGGCGTAAACATCACTCAGCACATTGGCCAAGGCAATACGACCCATTGTTTCGGGATCATCAACGAGCGGATAAAAGAAATCAACTGTCTGCACTAGAGAATAGTCCTTGTGTCTAGCTAAAGGTATAACTGCGCAATCCATTCCAGAGCCTAAAAAGTACAAATATACTGCATAAATATAAATATGACCATGAAGTTGATATTTTCTCTTAGATTTCACAATGATAAGCAGCATACGCAGTAACAAATGATAGATTTTTATTGCCCTTATTTATGTTATTTACTCACCAATATAGTCGTCATCGTTTTTGGGTGCCTTACTAACTATTTCTGTTCCCCTGAGATATTCATTGAGCTTCTCTTCGGGGACTTTGCAGCCTCACCCTCGAAGTGTGGAAAACATAGTTAGACGAAAGTCGGCCTCCAGGCCGTGCTCTTCAGGTCGAAACATAGTCAAGTTGCCTTAAGAGACAATAAGATGTATAATAAAATATAAATGTAAATTTAATTCGTTTTTGTTCTTCAGACCAGCTGTTGAGTCTCGTGCGTAATGTTAGATTGAACGACTTGCTGAGTGAACTTACACCCTGGCTGTTCATTTAGTTCCTTTTGTTCTTTTGAGCCCCCACTTCAACCGTTTTCAAATAAAAAGTCGATAGATTTAAAGTCTATCGATTATTTTTGTACAATAAAACCTTTTACATTATAATTATTATTATTTGCTTCTAAAGAAACTTATGAGCTACAAATATAATTTAAATTTATTTGTTTGTTTATATTCATTAATTACTAAAATTTGCATAAATTCCATACACTCCCACACATGTGTATTACATTTGTCCATTTTAGGCGCTTTTATCGTGTTTGTTTTCTCAAGCAAACAAAAAAAAACACCCAAAACACCCTTAACAGGAAAAAGCGAAGGACGACAAAGGACACTGACATTGTCGGCAAACAAACTTCCCCAAAATTTGTTAAAAAACGAAATACTTTCCATACATAATTGCAAAAGAAATGAAAACTCAGCCGCCAATTGAGCTAAACTAAAATATTGTTTTTAACATTTGTTCTTTGATTTGAAGTGCTTTGATGAGCTTTGGCAAAAGTCGATAAAATTCAAATAAAAATCTAAAATGTTCAAAAGTAAAAACGAGTGTAATATTGTGTACAAGTGCACAGTTCGTCTACTCGATGATTCCGACGTTCTGGAATGCGAATTTCAGGTGGGTGCCATCCAAATTTTTCATTTATATGCATTAAAACTCGCATTAAACAAGAGAGGAAAATAGCTGATGTTGTCCCGTATTTATATGTGTGTGTGCATATTTGCATATCTCTGTGTGTGTGTATGGAGCACGTAAGAGGGTAAATTCCCCGTTAAAGAAAAACAACACCCAAAAAATACGTAAAATGATTTGCATTCTTTTTATTCCAGCCATTCCACAAAGGCATTTATTTAGTGGACCATATTTGTAGACAACTAGATATTAAGGAAAAGGACTATTTTGGCTTACGTTACGTCGATACGGGAAAACAAAGGGTAAATATTAATAACAAAAAAATAATATAAATAAAAAACAATTAATTATCCTGATTTAAATATATTTTGTTATTTTGCAGCACTGGCTTGACTTGGCCAAATCCATATTAAAACAATGCAAAGGTAAGTGCTTAATTTCTTACTCTGCTTTAATAACTAATTAAATTAAGAGTCTATGTTTTTCTACAGATATCGATCCTGTTCTGTTTTCCTTGCGTGTGAAATTCTATCCAGCGGATCCATTCCGTCTAACTGGCAATGGCCGCATCATGCTCTTCCAGCAGCTGAAGCGAGATCTTCGCCATGGTCGACTTTACTGTTCGTTGGGTGAGGCGGCGGCATTGGGTGCATTAATAGTCCAAGAGGAACTCGGGGACTATGACGAACTGATGCACATTGGTGACTATGTGTCCTCGCTGGATTTGGCACTGCGCCAAACAGAGAATCTCGAGAAGAAGATTATGGAGCTGCACAGAAAACGGAAGCCTGGCCAAGATCCCACCGTGGCCATGGATGAGTTTATGGGCATTGCACGTGGGCTGGAGACATACGGCATCGATCCGCATCCCGTGAAGGATCATCGCGGCTCGTTGCTGTACGTGGGCATCAATCATGCCGGCATCAGCACCTATGTGGCGGGCAAAAGATCTCAACACTTCCGCTGGAACGAAGTGCACAAGATCAATTTCGAGGGCAAAATGTTTATAGCGCATTTGAGCTTCACGGATGCCAGCAGGGAGCCGGTGAGTATTAATCATCGATACTAGAAGAATTCCAATTCAATTTCGAACTATAATTTGTAGAAAAAACACACCATTGGCTTCAAGTGCCCCTCGGGACCCGCTTGCCGTTATCTCTGGCGAAGCGCCATCGAGCAAATGTTGTTCTTCACGTAAGCACAATTTCAAAGATTTATGGAATACAACTCTAACTCTTCCCATCCCAATTTCCATAGTTTGCCGAATAGCCAACATGCCGCTGTTGTTTCGGGCGGCGGCTTCTTCTCCTGGGGCACCAAGTTCCGTTATACCGGTCGGACGGAACGCGAGATATTGACTGAAAGCATTAATGCGTTGCGCGAACAGAAAATGACAAATTCAACATCGAGCAAACGCAAGGCGAGCAGCGTTCCAGCGACACCTTCCAGTCCACAGGGTGACTTGGCACAAATACGTAAGATATTCCAAATTCAAATCCCTTATCGAGTTGGAAAGAATCTTCTTAAAGCAAGAGAAATAATTGTAGTCGGGCGTAAACGACTGCGAAATACTCTGATACCAATAAGTAATACCAAGTCAAGAAATATCAGTCTTTGATGATGTAATTTCCTAGTAATCTATCATCCAAGTTTGCCTTTAAAATTGTGGACGGAACCGAAAAAAATGTTGGAAACACTTTCCTAGTAATCTACTCTCCAAGTTTGGTAGACATAGCTCTAAAATTGCGGAAGATTAAAGCTTTTGCAAATATTAGAGGCGGAAGTGGGCGAACAAATATTAATATTTGGTAGCTTTAGCTTTTAAATTGCAAGAGATATAGGCTATAGGATATAGGGCGTCGATGAAAACTATATTAGTGAAGGTTCCTCGTCAATTGCTTGGTAGCCATACATCAGTTTTTTTTATATATAAATTCCACATTTTCTAATAATATCTTTTTGTTCAAAACAGGCTACAGCAGTTTGCCACGTTCCACAATGTCCGAGCCGCTGGGCTGCTCGATGGCGCCGAGCATTCTCATTTATGGCCATGGCCAGGATGGGGGCGTCAACGGTGGCCTGCAAATGCCCATTCTGGAGCCAGTTTGCGAGGAGGCGCGTCTGCGCTCCTCGAACATCGATAGACTTAATCATATGGGAACCGAGCTGTCCGGCTATGCGTTCCGTGACTCCATCGAGCATTCGTCAACGGAGAGCGGACTGACGGCCAGTGGATATGATGTGGCTGGCAAGCCGCGTGGCAATCCGAGTGACTCCAAGCAGCATCTGTATTATTCATCCAAGCAGTACTATGCGCTGCCCAATCCCGCCTTAAATTCAAGCTCTTCCGTCGGCATCTCCAGTGGGAAGCATTTAGGCAAATTCTCACGCACGCATTCCAATTCCAACAGTGGCAAAAGCATGCGAAAATTCCATTTGCTGCACGCCTTTATACCATCCGTAATCTTTGTAGTTATCGCCATGGCCGGCACTGCCGTCCTAATCATGGAATCCGAACTGGATATGTTTGAACGTGTCCGCAATTCTCCGGAAATGCTTAGTTTGCGCTATCAGTATTATCAGCCATTAAAGGAATTTGTCATGGAAAAATTGGGCCGTAAAATGTAAATGTTGTATATGATTGAGAGGGTTTGTTTTTAAATTTAATTTAGTATATTACTTTTATTTATTTCGCAAATCAATAGAGAGAGAAATTATAAAACAAACTGCTTTGAAGAATTCACTTTAGAAATAGAATAGTGGCATCAAATTAAGGCCTTTAGATCAGACGAGTTTTATTTGATCATAAGTTAATTTTATAATTATTTGCAGTCGATTCGCAGTAATAATAATAGTAACTATTTCTACATTCTTAAACATATCATATAGCTGCTATGCTACAAAAGATCCTTAGACTGATCGAAGGGTTGTTATTCATTATTTTAATTAATTCAAACAAACTAAATTGAATTAAAATACAAACGAATATCATATAATGAGTGAACGATTTAATTATTAAGTTTATTTTACAAGCAATCATAATTAAAAACTGTGCACTTTTTAACAATAACGATTGTTTCCATTTCAGTATATTTTAAAGAAATTGCTTTATAGTTTCTTGCCCAATTTAAGACATGTTTTCAGTAATTGTAGTTAACAGTTTAGCATTAAAAAAAATCATAAATGATAGTTTGAGAAACTGTTTAAATAGCAGCTATATGATTTATATCCATTCTCGATTATGTGCTTTAAAAATTCTGTTTTAAACATTTATGTTTGTTTGGAGTAATTTATATACATAAATTGTTATCTTTTAATCGTCAGCCCTATTTTAACAACTTTTATCGCTTATATGCCTATACACTTCTAGAGGATCGCACACTCTAGAACATCTCCAATACCACTTAAAAACAATCTTAATAAAGCGCTTATATTATATTAAGTAAGCATAGATTATAAAATTTATCAATCTTTAATTTGTTATGCATTGATTACTGTGTGTTTGTAGGCTGAAAAAGTCTGGTAAAATATCAGTGAAGTGGGGACCCGAACAGCTCTTCGATTTGCCCACCATTTGTTTACACATGCATAATAAAGGAAGTTTTTTTTATAATATTTTATAAACAAAATTGAAGATGTTTACATTTTTATTCTACTGTCAAATTGAAACCAACAAATAACTAAAACGATTTTCATCGATTTTGAAAAGAGGAATCGATAAAGTTAAGCTCGATAACTCGTAGCCAATGTCGATCGATATATTTACGATCGAGCTAGCAACATAAGACGATATATTTTTATATTGCATGATGGTTAAGTCTGACATGCAAAGCGTTAAGTTTTGCCCTATCCAACACTTGCGATAAAGCTTATGTACGATCACACAGTGAAAAATTGCGAACCGATATAATTGAGCAGTGCGCATGCGTGGAGAGTCGGCAATGAAAATTACAGGTTTGTTTTATTGTACTTAACAAGTTGACATATGCATACAAACGCATATATGTATATATATGTGTGCAGGTATATAAGTTCATATGTGGCTGTTAGCTAAAATACAAGTGTGAACGCCATTTTATAGTTATTAGTTTTACCACAACTGTAAACTGCGACAATCAATAACGATCGCATATAAATAGTGTTGACAGATGACAGTAGTGCACGTATCCAGTGACAAGTGTTAGTTAAATACAAAAAGAGAAAAATACCATTTGCAGTTGACAAATTTATTTGCTTGCACTTGTAAGTGTGTGTATGTGCGTGTGTGCTTGTGTGTGTGCACAGCCATTTAACGGCTTACATATGTGTGTATGTGTGCACATATATATTAATTATGGGTTTCAAGTGTGTATACTTCGTGTACTACTTGTAAAATATATGTACACACATACAACTCTTGCAGACATACATATATGTGTGTGTGTATGGCTGCATGTTCACATACGTAAGCATGTGTGTGTGTGTGTGTGTGTGTGTGAGGCGATTTCTAAAAGAGCATGAAACAGATGACTTAAGAAGCAAACTGGAAATGCCGATGATGAAATACCATCATCAACTCAATGTACTTTTACAGTTGCTCTACCTGTTAACTGAATATTTACGTATGCAAATACTTAATACGAATTTAACGCTTGTTGCTTGACATACTTTTGTGTTATTATTATAGTTAATTCTTAACTTTCATTTGATATATTTTCAGCAAAACATTTTAAAAACGCCCAACTCTTTTAGGATTGTTTTTATTTTTGTAATGATTTTAAGCTGCTATCAAAATACATTCTACATAGCTTGATTCTTGTACAATAATCAAAGAAGATAAGTGATAAGCGTAGAATGGTGTATCCGGAGGAACCTTTTTGGGCTTTGCCAATGGTGTCTGGATTATACGAGGATCGAGATTACAGGGGTAACATATTTGTTTTATTTTGTTTTTATTAACTTTACTAGTTTCTTATATTTCATATTTTTCCATATTTAGTTAATGTTGTGGAAGCATTGCAAGAGTTCTGGCAAATGAAGCAGACGCGGGGCGTGGAGCTTAAAAATGGAGCACTTGTGATTTACGAATCGATTCCGTCAAATAGCCAGCCCTATGTTTGTTTCGTAACATTGCCCGGAGGCAGCTGCTTCGGCAGCTTTCAGGTGAGAAATGTGGCTTAGACTGATTATTGTCATTACTTATCAATAACTCCCCTTTTTAGAATTGTCCAACCAAGGCGGAGGCCAGACGCAGTTCAGCTAAAATTGCGCTCATGAATTCGGTTTTCAACGAACATCCGTCGCGTCGCATAAGTGATGAGTTTATTGAAAAGGCCGTGCAGGATGCACGCGCCTCCTTCAAGGGAACACCACAGAACACTGAGTTACCAGAGTCGGGCATTGGTGCATTTAGGTGAGAAGCCAACTTAATCTCCATTTAAATATCACCATACACAAGTCTTAATTAATTCCTTCATTTAGATTCATGCTGGAAGCGAACAAGGGACGAACTATGCTGGAATTTCAAGAATTAATGACGGTTTTTCAGCTGCTACATTGGAATGGATCGCTGAAGGCAATGCGCGAACGTCAGTGCTCGCGACAGGAGGTGGTGGCCCATTACTCAAACAGAAGTCTGGACGATGAGATGCGTGCCCAGATGGCACTCGATTGGATAGCACGGGAGCAAGAGAATCCCGGTGTACTGCGGCGTGAACTGGTCCTGGCCGAACGTGAGCTGGAAACGGCACGCATGGCTGGTCGGGAGTTGCGCTTCCCCAAGGAAAAGAAGGACATATTAATGATAGCCCACAATCAATTGGGTGGCAGTAATCTGGGTGCAGCATCCATTGAGAACTGAATGGCGAACGGTGAAGAGTGCGCTATAAATTGATTAGAAATACGCAAAAGGAATAATACAAAATTAATATAATAATAATAATAATATGGGGATTATATTTAGGAAGAGGAGATATCCGGTTCTTAGCATCTTGGCATCATATCTCTCTACACATACATTCAACAAGCAAGCAAGAAATCGACGCTCAGAAACAAGCCGCATTACACACAAAAAAAAAAGAAGAAACAGAGAACAACATGCAACAGTTTTTATTTTATATTTTATTATTGGCACACGACATGATCTCGAGTTCTGTTAAATCCGTTAAAGCTCATTTACAAAATACTATGAAAATCAGGAAGGACCACCAACGATGTTGTCTTAAAAGAAGCATATTAGCCCGACAAAAAAGAAAAAAAAAAAACAAATAATTATTATAATAATAAAAGGAAAAGAAAAAGTGGTTTCAACTCACTGACAAGTGCAAAAATACTTTCGGAATGTGAAAATTGTGATTTTAAATACTGAATTTACGGAAATTTTTTGAGACTAAACTTAAATAGAATAGTTAAATTTATTGTGTATATGCATGTGTATTTATAACGAAGATTGTCTCAGCGCCAAGCGCACCTCATCCGAGGCAAATACCATTTAGACAAATTTTTTAATAACATCGTCAAAACCTAATAAACTGCACTAATTTGGCATAAATACATATATATATATACATTTATCTATATATATATTTGATTTGTGGACGACTTGTGAAACAGAATATTGTACTATGTCTATATATATTGCCCGATCACACACACAAATAAAACTATCTGTCTGCCTGCAAACTTTTACACTATTATTAAATCTATGCTAATTATTTTAACTTGATGGACGTTTCAAAAAAAAATATACAACAATCTTTTAATCTTCTGATCTTTAATTTTTTGCATGAATCAGCTTGTGCCGGGCCAGACTCTCGCGGCGGGTAAAGTGACTTGGACACAGGCTGCACTTGTACGGCCGATCATCGGAGTGGATGCCAATATGGTTGCGTAGATTCTCGTTGCGCGGAAATCGCTTTGGGCACTGGGGACACTGGAAAGGACGTTCGCCGGAGTGGACACGACTATGACTATAGAGGCCTCCACTGCTGGCGAAAGTCTTGGGGCATTGGGCACACTGGAAGGGTCGTTCGCCAGTATGGATGCGTATGTGATTCTTGAGGCAGACGCTCTGGCTGAATGCCTTCGCACAGTGGGGGCACTTGTGCGGACGTTCCCCCGTGTGACTCCGGATATGGATTTGTAAATTGGAATTGGCGGTGAATGCCTTGATGCAATAGGGACACCGATGGGCCTGCTGACCCGTATGCGTCGTCAAGTGTATCTCTAAGTTTTTGCTGCGGGAAAAGGACTTGGAACAGTGGGGACACTGGTGGGGATTCTCTCCCGTATGCAGTGGCAGATGCGTCACTAGATACTCCTTGCGAGGAAAGGCGCGGGGGCAATGGGGACACTTGTATGGCTGCTCCCCAGTATGAATGCGATTATGGATCTTCAAGTGTCCTCTCTGATAGAAGGCTTTCGGGCACTCGCTGCACTTGAAGGGACGTTCGCCCGTATGCGTGAACATGTGCTTGACCAGTGCACCATTCCGGCCAAATGCCTTGGGGCACTGGGCGCACTGAAATGGCCGTTCGCCGGTGTGGATGCGCATGTGATCCTTGAGCACTTTGCGACTTGTGAAATCCTTTGGACACTCGCCACACTTGAACGGACGTTCCCCGGAATGAATGCGTCTGTGCACGACTAGGTGAGCAGTGCTCGATAACCTTTTGTCACAAATCTCACACATGTGCTTCTTCTTTGGATTCACTTCGATCTCTGCTAGAAAATGATTATTGACAGGCATAGGATTCACTTCCGGTTGCTCTTCACACTGCTGCTCCTCCAACATAATGAGCGTCTGCTCGCACTCAAAGTCTTCCTCATTATCGCTGACTTCGATTTTAATGCTATATTGTTGTTGCTCCACTTCTAAGCTGTTATCGGGCAGCACATGTTCAACTGCTTCACTTTCTTGAAATTCAGTTTTGATCTCTTGTGGACAGAAATACTGCTGGCTCTGCTCGCATCTGCGCTTGAATTGAAAAGCGTTTTCAACGCTCAGAATGCAGGACAGGCATATCTGATCCGTGGGATTTGTCCGATAGCCAATGCACTCTTTTATCATTTCCGATAGACTGGGTTCTCCCAGTGGCTGCTGCCGCTTGGCATTGATCTCAAGCAGCGTCATTGAGCTGCTTCTGCAAATGCGGCAAACATTTGTTTTTGGTTCTTTTTGTTCGGAGTTGCGCTTCAACCGAAACGCATTTTGTGCAGCGCTGACGCAGGAAAGGCATAGCTGCTGAGGAAGTGCATCATTTGGATTGATTGCACAGGCAACACACTCGCTCAACATCTCCGCCAGACTGGGCTGTCCCTCTGTGAATATGTTCACCAGACTGCAGGAGCTGATTTTGCATGCACGGCAAATTTGCTCCATGGTTGCACCAAAAACAAATAAATAACAAATGTGGTCACACTTTTTCTGTGCATATATTTCTAGTTACAATTAAAATTGCCGCCTATCAACACTGAACAAAAACGGTGCAGCTGTTGTGCTAATAAGATAATCGATGAATGGGTAACTGTAACTATTACTTTTGCTGTCGCCATTTAACCGTTACCAGTTCCACACAAAATGAGAGCATAGCCAGTAAAGCACCACCTTAAAATAATATTCATTAGTTTTACAGTAAAAAATATATTTGGTTTTCTTCCTACCTAGCAAGGTGAAAAATGCAGATGTAACGCCCGACATGCTAACTGGATAGACGGTGTACAGGGACTGACATTCTGGCTTTCTAATTTGTCGCTCTCGCAGAATTCTCTCCACTAAACCAGCTTCACGAGCTTTACACATGCTGCATTTAAGATATATAATTATTATTATTATATATGCCATTGTTTTAATATGATATGCTTACGCTGTTTTAAAGAGCTCGCTGTACTGGCTATTCTTATGCAGAATCCAGTTTATGATCTGTACTTCCATTAGGCCGGAAACTTGGCGCAAATCGCAGATTTCATTGGCATCGAACAATTCAGCTATTATTGGATAGGCATCGACTACTTCGCAATGAAAGGCGAATCCGCCGCGTTTCAGATAAGGAATCGCATCCTCGATGTGACCATAAACACCCATTTCATTGGGACCCCTGGCTGCAGATAATTTCTTACTTATGAGTTGAGTCACAAGCGGATTTGTACTCTCCTAAATTAGATTGATTAATCAATAACAGCTGCAATATTTAATCTGATTACTTACTTTGAATAAAATTTTATAGTAACCAATATCTTCAAATGAGATTTTTAGCGGGCTTGAGATGATTTCAGCGACAGAAGCAGGACCATGATCTGAAGAGCTCAGCAATCCACCAACCACCGATGAAGTATAATAATTGTACATTACCACCGAAAAGAGGAACACGGTCAGGACAAGGGATCGAGATGGCAAACCGGTTGGAATCGGTTCCATTCCCTGCTGGCAAGCAGCTCCAAAAATATGCAGTGTATGTTCTATCCAATTACTTTTGGATTTGTCTGCTGTTGCCTCAGGAGTTGTTCTTAAATTCGAACGTTGAAAAAACTTTACTTGCTCTTTGGCTTTTTTTGGCCTTGCTATGTTTTTATATCGATTGCTTATGTAATCAATAAGGAACCAAATAAAGTTGGTTGCCATTAAAGTGGCCGAAGTGAAGAGCCAAACGCGTCCACTGAAAGGTGCCAGAAAGTTGCCGCTTTTGCCCTGCGTATCTAAATCAGGCGTGAAGCGATATAAGAACGCTACCTCAAACTTCCAACTTTGGTGGATTGTGTCAAATTCTGCAAATCGATTTAAGCGATCGAAGGCACCCGTTGCTGCAACATCCGCCTCATTGCGCATTACGATGCCCAGCAGACCCAGTCGAAATGTGGTGTTCCCCAATCTGCCAGCCCAGCCGCGGGAATTGCGAAAATTGACTGTAAAGTTGAACTGATCCTTAAGCAGACGCAATAGCTCGTAATGATACTTGACGAATGCAGCCACGCCCGGATCCTTAGTTGGACGAGCCAATATTTCCACAATCTGTTCATTGGTCACTATGTCCTCCTGATCAATCTGTGATGCAAACAGCAATCTTTGTTAATAAATAGTTAGCTTCTGGTTTTAAATTATAAAAATATAAAATAATATGAAATTGCCATTCAGTTTTCAATTTATTTTAAATCCGATGTCTCAGGGAATTTCACATCGAGTCGAATGAAAAAAATGGTATATATGAAAGAACTAAATTACAATCAGTAAATAATTACATATCATATATTTAAATAATTATGTATTATTATTATATTATATGTCATATATATAAATTAAAATGATTGACAGCATTTTCTTTTTTTAAATTCAATAAATCTCAATACGCTCTTATAAAAAAATTTAAGATTGAACTTATCGACATTTGGATAAAAAATAAAATCGTTGCATAGAATGTATTTTTGCCATTTCCTCAATCGGTTTTTCAAAAATCCCTTCTCATGTATCAATCCAGTTCAGCTTAAGGCTTTTTATTTAAATAAATAGAGAAAGTAAAGATTTGAATACTTACCACAGTGGCTCCACGTAAGGTCAAACCATTGAACTGACTGCGATACCTGATGCTCTGCAACTCAAAGATATCTCGAACTATAATCAGTTGTTTTGCGTCAATTAAATACTTGGCTATTAAATGCACTTCCAATGGTGATTTCAAATGACGACCCTTCGAGTGAATGTCCCACAAGGCGTAACCGTCTTCTGTTCTATTCACATAGGTAATCTGCGCATTTGGGCCAACATAGTCCAACTTGAGAGGCAGCAAATGGTCAATATCTGCATGCACGCCCCAAAGCAGCCACTGATATGTCTTGTTGAAATATCTGTAACCAGTGGCTTCCATTAGCAACTTTGGGGCACCTTCACAACTTGTATCCACAATGACAGCAGTCCGCGCATAGTTTTCCCTTGTTAAAACGTCTGTTAAGGAATTGGAATTGTTTAAATTGACGGGGTAAATAAGTTGATTGGATTGCATGAGAGCCACGGCATTAAAAAGGAGATCTGTTTAAGTGGATATAAAATACCAAATATATAACAACTTTACTAAGTTAAAAATTAATATCTCACCTTGCTTAGAGCAGGCAAATATAACACTCTCCTGTGTCTTCACCAATCGAGTCGTGAATTCAAGTAGCACAGAAGACTCCATCGAGGAGTCTCCTGCCCGAAACTCACATAGTACGATAACAAAAGTTAGCTGTCTAAAATTCATTTTTACGATTTGTTTGCTCACTGAGCGAGTGCGTCGACTTATATAGTAAATTGATTGGCAATTGATTGACAGTTTCAATTGCAGCAGGCACTTACGAATGCTAATTTAACTATTAACGCATAATAGTGCGTAAAGACTTAATTAAACTGTCAATCACAGAAATGCATGAAATACAAAAACATTTTGCTTACAGGCATATGTAACTGATGGATATAATAATAAGCTTATTTTAACAAAAATTCAAATTTTACACTTCATTTGAGTTACAACAATTAGACCACCTGCAGCTGCATTTGGTTTTGCATTAGCGAGTCAATGGGATTCTCATAACGTATCAGCTTGTTCAACAGGAATGTGCCATCCTGATGATAATCGGCATCGACGACAAAGACTTCCACCACTTTTGTCATTAGGAACTGTTCGTTTTTCAGCGTGTCCACAATAAGTAATGGTGATATTTTGATCAGTCCCAATTTGGATGGACAAATAGTGAGTGGAAATTCAGCCATCTCGCCTGGCTGCAGCACATCCAACTCGAAATCCGCTGAACCCGTGTACGGACAATCGGCAAACGCTTTCGTCTCGAGTGTAACATGCAGCTTCATCGAATGCTCAGCGGTATTGGTGACTCTGCATTGGAATGTAAGGATTGTGCCAATTTTGACAATATTTTCGGCATCAATCACTTCTAACCGTAAATCCTTGTACTCAAAGGGCTGCAAATTAGATAATTCATATCTCAATCGTCATTTTGATAAGTGCAATTTAGAGTTTTCCTACCAATCGCTGCAATTGACTCGTTTGCAATCTACCCTTTTCGCCAAAGTTCGATCGCCAGACAATGTCCAGTTTGCCAACATTGTTGGCTTGGCGCAGTGTTTTGATGTCCTTGGCAATTTCAGGCTTTGGCTGTAATTTTTTGTAAATATGAGCATCTCTTGCAAGATTATACAGTTATGGGACCAACCTTAATGCAATAGAGAAATTGACAACTATTATTTGGCTGCAGCATATTCTTTGAGGTGAAAACAGATTCGCCGTTGGGCAGGGTATTCAAGGATGTCACCGTATACTGCTCCGAACTATCCAATTCGACTTTCTCCAAACAAAATGGACCGGTGGTCACGTTTTGTATTTGCGCCTCCAAATATATTTCATCCATTTCGGCATTGTAAAACTTAGTCTTTACATCCAGCGGCTTGAGAACTTGAAACTTGAAGAACTTGCGCAGCGACTGAGCAAATCCAGCGGGACTCGTGTAATTCACTTCGCACACCAATCTAAGCAGAAAATATTGATAAATATATAATATATAAAATATATATAGATTTTTAAGTGCTACCCACATATGTGTACCAATCTCCTTGACTTCATATCGAATGACATCGTCGAGTGTCTCATCTGCCGTCAGCACCACGGAGGATTTCTTGTTCTCATGCATCAGCAGATTAATACGCGTGTTGTTCGACTGCAGGTCTACTTTCACGGAGACACCTTCAACGGGATGAGTGGTGCAATTGTGCACACAGATGTAACTGGAAAACGTTTCGCCCAGGTATATATTGCCAAAGGATTGTGGCAACAGCATTGTCTGCCCAGCGCCCAGTGCTTCAGCACTTGTCCTGGCAATTCCATCGTACTCCACCAGTCGATTAAAACTCTGCGGCAAATCCTTCGGTTCGCAGGTAACAATTGGCCCAAGTCCCACCAGCGTTGGTCGGGTCAGTCGCATAACTGCAATTGAAAGACTTGTCACGCATTGCGCTTAGATGGACAACGATGGACTTACCCTTCAGGGCCAATAAATGAGATTCTGTGTCGGCTGTGTTCATTTTACGCAAATAAAAATAGAGCAAAATATAAACAATTTCCTAAGCTACTGACGATTGTTGCTCATTAGTGATGGCACCGATAGACACGTTTATCGTTAATATCGAATGCCATATGTCGAGCAGTGTTGCCGTTTTGGCCTTTTTTTATCTTGATTTAGCGGGGTAAAATTAGCAACGATTTCAACCATTGCAGTAAATAGTATAATTAAAAAATTACCGATTCATTCTGCGATAGCGATGCATTGTGAAACACAAATATGTTTAATAATTTGTTGGCAGTTTCTTGTATATTTAGCTTAACAGTAATAATCCATATAATGGCTTCTTAATAGCTAATACATATTATTTCGAAGAGTCTGCTCGACAGCTATTTAGCTTTCCAGGGAAACCAAGTCTCGACTTATGAAGAAAGCAGAGACCAGCGCTGCAGTTTGGGCCTTTTCAGTGCAGCCCTTTGATAATCGCTCCTCGACTTGGGCCAGTTTCACAATCAATTTATTCATCACCGACATGGGCAATTCAACTTTTAGGGGTAAATAGAAAATTAATAAACTGCATAAAATGGTATATGCTATGCTTACGTCTCATAATAAACAAATGCAACTCGGTGACAATATCCTCCAAGGCAAGACCCCGCTTAGTCTTCGCTTCTTCAATTGCTAAAGAAAAAAACAAAACAGAATTAATAATTAAATTAAATAAACTATTTTCACTCACTGTCATAGGCCGATTCAAATGTGGCTGCAGAGAGCAATGTTTGCAGCATATGCTCAATTTCACTCCTCAACGGATAACCGACACACATATAAACATTATCCTCGTTGACAATGTCAAAAGCCATCGATGTGCTCTGTAAAACATTTAAAACCTTTCGCATATCGCCCTTGGACAAGGTTAGCAATGCATTTTTGCCATCATCCGTAACGTTGACACTGCAAAAATAATAATATTTAAATGCTTTTATATATTAGAAACAAAATAAACTCTTACTGCTCTTCCTGTACAATCTGATTGAGACGTGGCAGCATCTGTTCCGCTGACAGTGGCGCAAATCGAAAGCGAGTGCATCGAGATTGAAGAGCCGGAATAATTTTGCTCAAATAATTGCAAATGATGCAGAAACGCACATTTTCCGTATACTTTTCGATGATGCGACGCAGGGCATTCTGTGCATCGTTGGTCATTGCATCCGCTTCGTCCAGTATGATCAGCTTAAAGGTGCCACAGAAAATGGTACGCGTCGAGGCAAAATTGAGTATCTGGCCGCGAACGATGCCAATACCGCGATCATCCGAGGCATTTAGCTCCAGCACCATTGACTTGAAGTGTGCCGACGAGTAGAGTTGGCGGGCGCAGGCCAAAATTGTACTCGTCTTGCCCGTGCCCGGTGGCCCATAGAAGAGCAAGTGTGGCAACTGCTTCTGATTGATGAAGCGTGTGACTACAAAATTTTATTTTTTAGTTGCCCGATTTGACAATAATTATTGCAATTTGCCACTTACTGGTAGATATAATTTCCTCGTGCGATATTAAGTCATCCAAGCAGTTGGGACGATACTTCTCCACCCACGGCAAGCGCGCAACTGTTCCATTGCTTTCAGACATCTTTTCGTATATTTATAAGACAACTTTCGTTGATATTTGGGAGCAATTAATGTTTACGCATTCGCGCCGTTTTTGTCGTTATCGAAAAAGTTATCGATTGTTTTGCGAATTCAACTACGTTTTGCATTTTGCATTGCGTTTTTAACGCATGCTGTAAATGCGATTGTTTTGTCGGAAAAAGCGTTCTTTCCCATTTTATTGCAGCTTTTTCCAAAATTAAATAATTAAAATAGTACTTTTGTAGGTTTCAACTGAACTGATTGATCTCAGACACCTAATTCATGAAGTTTTATATTTAACTGCATTCAACAGCTATTTAGTAGTTACAATATACATTTACATAATCTTTGTGTTGTTCATATTATAATAACAACAACAACGACAAACAACTTAATAATCTAAAGACCATTCATTCTCGGCAATGAATGAGTCGACAACTTCTTTCATTGAAAAATTTGGTATTAACTGATCCTGTGTAAGTTTTACTCGTGTCACAGGATCAAAATGACCAACACGCTGCAAATGCTCCTCAATGTCCTTACGCTCATAGGTGATTCCCGATGGGGTAATCACAGGATCTGTTAAAATTTCAAAGCTTATTTTCCCACACAGGAAGTCGGGAACATCGCGTTTCTGTAGTCAAAGAAAATAACCCAAGATTAGAGCATTTAAATAGATTATTTGTAGTACTTACCCTTCGACGTTCATCTACTTTTGCGAATATGTTGTTAAGCTCTTTGATGTGATCATCCTGCATAAGAAATATATACACAACAAATTTGTGTGTTAAAGAAACGTAATATTTTTAGAAGTAATCATTTAGAACTGAGAAAGTTTAAATCAACTTACACATTCTTGTTCAATTTCCTGCTGTTTGTCTTTTAGGTGATCTTCATTTAAATTTTCGTTCAATTTTAACTGGGCCAACCGGTTTTCCATATCATCTTTAACTAGGCTGTGAATAATTAAAAGGATTGTTTTCGTTTGTAAAGTTTCAGTCCAGTAAAGCCGTTCATTAATTCCTACCGATTCAAATAGCTTTGCAGCTCGATTTCCTGGAGTATTCGTTTTTCTTCCATAACGTTCCAACGTTTTTTGCGTGCCAATCGTAATTGCAATGTTATATCATCTCCAAAGTTTTGCTTCTGTTCCTTGGACAAATCATAAGCTACAAAAATAAAATTACGCCATTAAATGAGAGAATTGCTTATTAATATTACTACGATTATTTACCTCGTTGTAGATGCTTAATAGCCTCATCATAATTGTCGATCTCCATGAGGCCCTGGCCCAAGAAAAAGTGTCCCTTTAGCAGATTACCATCGATATCCAAGGCACGTCGACAATCCTGACAGCAGAGCTCCCATCGCTTGAGCTTTAAATTGCAAAGGGCACGATTTGTGAAATATGTTGCATTTGTTGGATTTTTAATCTGCAATGATAAAAATGAAACTGATTCACTTGCAAGTTTACATTTTTATTTTCGAACTTACAATGGCCTTGGAGTAACATATAATGGCATCGTCATATTTGCGAGTCGCAAATAAACAATTGCCCTGCTCTTTCAATTGCAGGTCAGATAAATTTGTGGTTGAGTAAATATGCTTGCTCGTCATTCTGGGAATAGTTTTTCTGCTTTCTTAATCGTATTTGATGCCTGAGAAAACTGATTGATGTTGGAATACAGATTGTCAAAAGCAGCTGACACGAGTATCCTGAGCAGTAGTAGAAGCACTATGCAATTCGCGTATCATTTAAACCGTATTCCGATCTACCAACAAATAAAAGGGCCTCTTATTGTTTTTCCTTCAACATTAAATACATACAAGTGTATGTATGTGTGTACGTAATTTTACAAATCTGTTTAACACTACTGCTTATCGATAAGTGCATATCGCAATGTTTACTAATTGAAAACAAAATAGTGTCGATATTAATAGTGCCCCTTTGACGCTTTAGATGAATTTAAAATTGAAATCGCAGCAGCTCAGCTTTATGTATCTCAATTATCAACATATTTATCAACATTATTCAGTGCAAAGGTTTTCATCGATATTTCATTGTGTTTTTTGCTAGTCGATCTCAATATAAACTTAATTGCACTTGTGTGTTTCAGGGTCTGAAAATATCGCAACGCATAAAACGATATTATAAATAAAAACAGTTTGTCTGCAACTTAAGATCAGCTGTTCTGTTAGCTAGTCTTGTAAGCCTTAATAAAGGGCCAATGTGCAGTATTTACATTTAAAATTTGATTGTTGCTTATTTGTTATTTTCTTGTTTAAAAAACGAAATTTTCTTTTTACCCTACCGAAATTTGCTTTGATAATTGAACCATTTAATTTGGTGCGGTATTTTTCCGTAAATATTGCGGCTGTTAATAACGTTTTAGCAAACTGTTAAGTCAACAGAGAAGCAAAGAAGAAGAAGCGATTTTTTGTCAATCCAGCTAAATTAATTTTTTGCGTTTCCAACAAAAAAATTTGGTTTAAGCTAAAGAAAAGCAGTGCAGAAGCGCTAAACAAATATTAAATGGCTTCGACATCAAGGTAAATAATATAGAAACATGTTCGTTTCAATTAATGCAATTTGTGCAATCGTTTAATAGACTCGAAAACAATAAGGTGTGCTGCTATGCACACCCCGAGTCTCCATTAATTGAGGACTATCGTGCTGGGGACATGATCTGCTCCGAGTGTGGCTTGGTGGTCGGTGATCGCGTAATAGATGTCGGCTCCGAGTGGCGTACATTTAGCAACGAGAAAAGTGGCGTTGATCCGAGTCGTGTTGGCGGCCCAGAAAATCCCCTTCTCAGTGGCGGTGATTTGTCCACAATAATTGGTCCGGGCACTGGGTCGGCATCATTCGATGCCTTCGGCGCACCCAAATACCAAAACAGACGCACAATGAGCAGTTCAGATCGTTCGCTTATATCCGCATTCAAGGAAATTTCATTAATGGCCGATCGCATCAATTTGCCAAAAACAATTGTCGATCGCGCAAACAACTTATTCAAGCAGGTGAGGAGAACAATTGTAAATCCGCCTTTCTAATTAATAATGCCTTTTAATGACACCAAATGCATTAGGTCCATGACGGTAAGAATCTGAAAGGTCGCTCAAATGATGCCAAGTCATCCGCTTGCTTGTATATTGCCTGTCGCCAGGAGGGTGTTCCCCGTACATTTAAGGAAATTTGTGCAGTTAGTAAGATTAGTAAGAAAGAAATTGGCAGATGCTTTAAGCTGACACTCAAGGCACTCGAGACAAGTGTCGATCTAATAACCACTGCCGACTTTATGTGCCGCTTTTGTGCAAATTTGGGTAAGTTGCACCTTAGACCACAATTTATTGTTTTGTTGTCATCATTATTTTATTTACGCATATTAAACTTTTAGATCTACCCAATATGGTACAGAGAGCAGCTACACACATTGCGAAAAAAGCAGTGGAAATGGACATTGTGCCTGGTCGTTCGCCCATCTCTGTGGCGGCGGCCGCAATTTATATGGCATCGCAGGCCTCGGAGCATAAGCGCAGCCAGAAAGAAATCGGTGATATTGCCGGAGTTGCGGATGTGACAATTCGGCAATCGTACAAACTAATGTATCCGCATGCAGCTAAATTATTTCCAGAGGATTTCAAGTTTACTACTCCGATTGATCAGCTACCGCAAATGTGAGGTAGACTTTGAGAAATGAACGATGCTCAATTTATTAATAATATTTTCGTAAGCTAAGATGAACATGATGCATGGATAAACATGATTTTGTGCGGCCTGCCTAGTATAAACTGAAATGACCATACTTTATTCACAAGAGAAAAACGATTTTATTCATATTAAAATGCAGAAATGCAAATGAAATGGCGTAGTTGCGATATCTATATACATATTGTAATTATTGAAGTGTAACGTTAAGAAAGCAAAGTCAATTATTCAGCATAGGCATATTTAATTTAGTATATTTAGAAGCACTCGCTTGAAAGCTTTCATCAATCATAACATATATTGGTAATTGTAATACATATAATATAATATAATATAATATGTATAAATAAGTTAGAGTAACTCGATATACAACAATAGTAGAAGCCACATAAATTAATCAATGCCCAATGAGCATTTCTCGTTATCCGTATGCCCGACACACTCCAAAGCCGGTCGATGCTCCGAGTCCCACATGCCAGGACCACAACGCTTGCACAGACCGCTCAGGGTGCACGGAATCTTTGGCAGCTGTCGATATTGATACAGCAGGCCGCGTGCCTTGCGCAATATCAACTGACCATCCATGTACATGGCCAGCGAGCTGAAATGCAAAAGCATCTCGTCGGCACGCAAATTCTGAGCAATGACATCATCCGCATAGACGGCGATGATGGCCAGGCAGAGGAACAAGTGAAAGTAGTCCGTGAGATAGTTTGACCAGCAAGCCTCCCACATCCGTATGACGACGGCCTCGGTAAATTCCCGCTTAAAGCACAGCAATAGCCAGCGATGACAAAACAGCAACTCCATGGCCTCATTGTGCCGCTGCAGGTGCTCGTAGAAGCGCGGCAACATGAGTCTTATCAACTCGCGCAGGTAGCTCAGATTGTGATCCACATCGTTGTCCGTCGGAGTACAGACGAAGAACGCCCGCTGCATTAGACCCACAAAACACCAGAATGTCTCCGATTCGTTTTGCACCTCGCACAGCACCGGTGCCAACAAATCGCTCATGCCCTGCAAATTGAAATATAAAGCAGATTTTGAAGTGCAATTTGAGATTCACTAATTAAGCAGTCATAAAATTCATCTGGGAATTGGTCAAGTTTTGTGTAAATTTTGCTTGCTGCTTTATAATTTAGTGTTTGGATGAATGAATGAACTTTTAGACTCAACTTTGAAAACCAGTTGGAAACGGAGTGAAAACAAAGTTTAAGTCAAAAGGAATGCGAAGCTTTTAAGATGAATTTTAATCAAATTAATTTAATCTCTGATCCAATTGCATGCAACTAATATTTTATCTAACAGCTTTTCATTTGTTTTGCAAGCTTAAATCAATATTATTGCGGAGCTACTAAGTTTAATGTGATCAAAATTTAATTAAGCCCTCATCCAATTGGATAAAAAGTTTACCTAAGAGCTTTCCATGTGATTTAAATTCAATTAAGCTCAAATCCAATTACTTGAAAAAAGTTTGTCCAATTTACGAGCTTGAATCATATATATTGAACGATAATTTTCCATCCAATAGTGTATAATTATCCTAAATATTTATGAGTTTATTTAGATAGAAATTGCATAATGAAATTGACCTCGATCGATTGGCAAACCGAATTTAAAAATGGCATTTCAAAAATCGTTCGAAGACGAAACTACTGTGAAATAAGCAGCTTTCTAGCTACCAAGCAGGATATATCCTGTCTTACCTGCGAATAGGATATACTCGTGTTGAAGATGGCAAAATTGAGTAGAATGTTTTTCATCATTTCGGTGTTGGGATTGTCTTCGCCGCAGAAGAAGGGATTCGTGCGATCCGTGCGCACCACATCCTTCTCGACGACACACTGGACCGTGCGCCAGAACTGGACTTGCTGCTCTGGCGACATGGAATATAGACGTTTGCGTGTGATTTCATCGTATTCCTGCCGCTTAATGTCCATGAGCACAGCGCGATCCTCGAAGGTGGATGAGAACGAGTAGCATTTGAGGATGAAGGGCCAAACGGTTTTGCGCAGACTCTTCTCCAATCCACCAAAGAAGACGCACTTACGCAGCAACAAATCATCATCGATCTGTCCCTTCTCGTTAAGCAGGGTGCCATAGAAGAAATTTGTGGTGATTCGCTTCACATTGCCCTCGTCGGGATGCATCTCGGACTGCTTGACTTCGGGGCGGCAAACCATAAAATGTCGATACGGCAAATTCGATTTCTCCTGTCCCGGCGCCAGCGTGATATTATGGAGGAAACAGTGCCACTGGTGCAGCACCTGTGCCAAATGATCCAAGCCGCCGTAGTGGAAATGGAGTATCTTGTATTGGGATTCGCGCGATGCAATCACCAGTTGCCCGGAAGTGCACTTGTCATCGTTGAAGAATAGACGCAACGAGCGCATTTGACTGAGATCAACGGAGAAGCGACGGCCCCGGATTACGGCCTTACGGCGTACAGTTGGCGTTGCATTCGCGCTCTCCGGGAATACCAGATTATGCTTAAAGGCCAGCAGTTCCGGTGTCATCCAGTTCGGATTGTTGTCGTCGGACACCGAACCATCCGAGTTGATCACCTGATTCTGATGCGCCTGTTGCCCACGGCCGCCATGGGAACCATTGCTGCCGTCACTGCTCTCGGGCGAGGCCAGGATGCAATTGTACGATTGCGAGATATTGCTATTCTCGATTTGGGGATTAGAGATCGTTATGTTAACCGATGTGATAGGATTCTTTTTGAGCAGCACAGCCAAGTCACCGATGGAGGCCGTCTGGCCACCGAGTAGCGGCTGCAATTCATTCTTTAATTCCTGCATTTCTGCAACGCTTTCATCCTCGGCACGAATGCCCATTTCCTGCTCCGAATCGTCAATCATCTTTGGCGCGGTCACCGCCACCTGAGATGTGGGCGAGAAGTGACCGTTAGTGGGCAGCATATCCGCATTTCGATTGTTCAACGAGTCCGCATCGCCGGCGGAGGACATCGAATTGCATTTGCAGAGCGAACTATTTGGTATCCATGTGAGCAGGAGTGTGGGTCTTTTGGCGCTATTATACTGATCTATGAAGGTTTTCGTGGTGCACGTCAAGTAGCCGGGATAGTGTAGTATGTCGGATTCTTGGCGAGCAACGGTCGGCGGATGAATGCACACATTATTCTTGCAAAATAATATTTCGTTGTCTTCGTAAGCGATATCGATTTTTTCATCTGACCTTTCCTCGCCGAGTATCAAGTTGGATGCCTTTTTTATAATACTTCCAATTGGCATTTTATTTATTTTATATTTTGATTAATGCTTCTCGTTAGCAATGCAAACGTATTTATGTCAATTCCAGCCTTTTGATTCGTATTATATATTTAAATTTTATACAAATGTGTGCAGAAAAGTGGGAGAGGTTTTCGGGCAGGATGTGTCACGGCAACTTGTCTCTTGAATTTTGAACCGAACCTCACATAAGATAATACCTGTGAGCGACCATTCTGTGTATAGGCTCATCAGTTTTTGGGTTTTGGAATGTCGATTTTGTTTCGAATTTAGTTTCCCACTTGGAATGTTGTAAGCTAAGGAGCAAGTTACCAACGACTCACGTATTAATATTTTTAAATGCAATAGTATCGAGTGTCCAAGATATCGATACATTTAGCAGCTCTAATTGGAAAAGTGTGACCTCTTTTATTTTAGTCTGCAAAAAAGAAATAGCCATTTTTTTAACAGGGGGTCACATTGATCATCATTTTTGATAAAATAAGTTTTTATTTTGTGATTCATTCGGTCGGTTAAAAAAGAAAGTCAATAAACAGAATAGGACAACACTGAACGGACTTATCTCTTCGTATAATTCCGTCAACTTGTAGAACATAGCTCTGAGAATGGCAGCCGAGATAAAACCAGCGCAACGCAGCAACAATGACCGCTTTTTGTCGACCAAAAAGCCCGAATTACTCAGTAAATTGGAGGGCAGTGGCGATGATGTGAATGCAGCCATTTTAATACCAGGCGAAAATGGTGTAATTAGCGTATCAGATGACAAGTAAGTGGCACAACAATGAACCAATAATGTGAGAAGAAAAAAAACAAATAAAAACTATTCCATTATTTATTAGAACTGTGCGTGTGTGGGTCAAGCGAGACTCGGGACAGTATTGGCCCAGTATTTGTAAGAGTTTGCCATCCGGTTGCACGGCCATCGAATACGTTCAGGAGCAGCGACAATTGTATATTGGTCAAGACAACGGCACCGTCACACTATACACCCTATCCGAGGACTGTAATCAGTTATCATTTGTCCGTGATTATCTGTCGCATCAGGGCCGAGTTGTCGCCGTTGTCTTCACAAAGGCCCACAATTGGATCTTGTCCGCTGGCAAAGATAAACAATTTGCGTATCATTGTGCGGAAACGACAAAGCGAGTGGGCGGATACAATTTTGAAACATCATGCACAGCCCTACAGTGAGTGTGAATTGTATAATCTCCAAATGAAACACTCATCCATTTATGATTAATATTCTAATCTAGGTTTGACGCCTTGGCTAAATATGCCTTCATTGGAGATCATGCGGGTCAAATAACAATGCTGCGCTGCGATGTGCAAGGTGTTCAGCTCATTACCACATTCAAAGGACACACAGGTAAAAAATAAAATAAAATTAAATTGTTTATTACATTTTATTAAGGCTTAGATATCTTTAAAAATAGGAACGTTGTTTAAACAAAAGTTTCGATGTGTATTAATGTGTAAATTCAGTAGAATTTGTATGTAGTTTGTTTATAAACAATGAATTTATGCTTTCGCTGCAAATAATCATTCTGTATAATCATTGAAAAGTTTGACTGTATTTGCTTCCCTGTAAATAATCGTATTTCTATGTAATTATAACAAAGTTTTTCTTTATTTGTATTAGTATTTATAAGTAGCTTTAATTTACGAATTTTTCGTTTCCAACGCTGTGTACTTTCATGAAAGTTTCATATAGTTTGTTTATATACAATGAATTTCTCTATGCCTCGCATCAAATAACCATATCTGTATAATTAATTTATATTATAACAAAAATCGACATTATTTAGAATAGTATTCTTATGTAGCTCAGTTAAAGTGTTCAGTTACCAGACATATTTTTCACACTTTATTATATATATTTATTAAATATACTTTAAGTAACAAATTTCAACAAACAATTGTTTATTTTTCAGCTGGCATCAGATGCTTAAGATGGGTGGAGGGACCACAGTTGCTGTTCAGTGGTGCGTGCGATCAATCCGTGATTGTCTGGGATGTTGGCGGCAAGCGAGGTACAATCTACGAATTGCAAGGACATGGGTATGCAAGTGCACATATATATCTATATATATATATAATATACATCTTTTAATTCAGTAACAAAGTATCGGCACTGGCATACGCTAATCACACCCAGCAGCTAATTACATCGGGCGAGGATTCCGTTGTTGTCTTTTGGGAGATGAATGCTATGCGCAAGGAGGTGCCCGACTGGGTGGAGTCCAACAATTGCCAGCTGTGCTCCAGGCCATTCTTTTGGAACTTCCGTTCGATGATGGATCAGAAACAGTTGGGCAAGTCAACAATGCATTTCGAATTAAAATCAATTTAAAACTAATATATTTTATTGCAGGTATCCGACAACATCATTGCCGCCATTGCGGCAAGGCTGTCTGCGATAATTGTTCAACGAATCGCATCAACATACCCATTATGGGATTTGAGTTCGATGTGCGCTGCTGCGATCCATGCTACAAGCAGCTGCAGACTGTGGAGCGTCCTTCCTTAGCAGCCTTTCACGATGCCAAGCATTCCATTGTGCACATGGACCTCGATGAGGATCGAAAACGTCTGCTGACTGTCGGCCAGGATCGGCTGATCAAAGTGTGGGATTTGTCTACCATCTGGGTATAATATTCATATATAATATATATAACCCGTGTCCAATTGACCGCAAGTTTGGTGTTTCAATTTCTAAAGAAAATTATTATTATTATTATTATATTGTATTGTATGAATCAAAAATAAATAATACCAAATACATATGTAAGTATTGAAAAACAAATACGACAAGTGCAAATGGTAAACAGACGAAAGCACTTTCATAAATCTAAGAAGCAATGTTCAACATAAAACGTCGTAATTATATATATAAACATATATATTAATAATGCATTAGTTATATTTTCATCAAATTGAGATTGATGTAAAACTAAAATCCATGGATATCAATAAAATCAGATCACGAGTATCATTCAAACAATTATGTGTTTCATTATTATTTCATATCGATTTAATTACTTCGGCTTCCCCTTGCATGGTGAAAGACTTCCCAACTGGTATGTGTTTACCAAGTCGGAAGCATTCTTAACCATAAACAAAATATCCACATTTGATTTGTTACTGAAATTTATGTTTTTATTTACTACAAAGATAGATGAGTGCTGATAATTTTAGTAGCCACCCCGTCCCGGCGGTGGTGCGCCACGCATCATTGGTGGCGGTCCTCTCATGGGTGGCGGTGCACCGCGTCCCAGACCGCCGGGCATAGAAGGAATTCCACCGGGAATCATGCCCGGCGGAGGTGCGCCCATCATCGGCGCTCTCGGCACACCTCGCCCCATGGGCGCCATGTGCTGTTGAGCGGGTCCGCCCACACCACGAACGGGGCCCTGCAAACCGGCTGGCACCGACGAGATGTTCATTGGCACACCACGTCCGGCGACGCGGCCAATACCGGGACCAGGTGCAGCGCCAGGAATGGGCACTCGTGGCAGACCCTCCTCTGGGGGTGGTGGTCCTTCAACGGTGAGTGAAACAATGTTTTCGCCACGCAACAGCACAAAGCCCAGCACACGCTTCTCCTCGCGTTCCGGCACCTTGGAGTTCTTGGAGCGGATCTTGCGGAACTCCTCGCAGTCGCCCAATATCAGATTCATGTGCTTATCGAATGCTTTGAATGTGCCGATGAATGTCCTCGAATCCTGCAGCACGATTCGCACCCGATAATTCAGGTGCTGAATCATTTTGTTATTCTTGCCAATAGTCTGCGAAAGGAATAATATAATGAGAGAAATTCAAAATAGAAAACATTTAACCATATTTTAATGTGTAAAAGGTATAAAAAAAACTACACATGGCCGGCATATTGCAAGCCTAAACGTTTACTCGCATATAGATAAAAAAGAACAGCACTCTTTTATAACTTACCATTTTGGCGAATTTTTGATATTGCCTATGGAATAATTTAATATATTCTTCGCAGCGTTTATTTAACTTGCAGACTATCTGAAAATAAAATGGCTAAACAAAATAATGCTGCTCGGTCGATATCGACGCACCGATAAGTACGAATTTATTATGTGAATTACTCGATTTGTGAAAAGGAAAATCAATTATCGAATGTGAGTGCATTTTTCTATATTCGATTGACGATGGCAGCCCTGGTTTTAAGAATTTGCAGTGAATACATAAATAGTGTTCAATCGACTCAGACAGACGCTCATATATGTATGTGGCCACGTCACATTGGCTCTCTTTGTTGCTCTCTTTTGTGCCGACATTCTACGTACATTTTATAGGCGGCACAACACCAAAAAGTTTTTAGCTCGTTGGCAAAACAAGTGAAAATTAAACAAATACCGTGGGTTTTTTGTTGATTGGTAAAGTACGTCATTTAAATGGTATTATTGAAATGTGGCAACATAATAACATATTTCAAATATATACAGGGTGTCGTCTAAAACCGCAACTACAGCAAAAGAACACTTAACAAAAAAAAATAGAAAAAAAGAAGAAAAGAAGAGGGAAAAGAAGAAGAAACTGACAAATCACTCAGAATGAATATTTTTCGATTCGCTGGAGATTTATCGCATGTGTTTGCCATCATAATACTATTACTCAAAATATGGAAGACACGATCCTGCGCCGGCATATCGGGCAAATCGCAAATACTATTTGCAATTGTGTATTTGACACGCTATCTGGATCTCTTCACGACATACGTCAGCCTCTACAATTCGGTGATGAAGGTCCTCTTTTTGGCCACATCAGGCGCCACCGTCTATTTGATGTATGTGAAATTTAAGGCCACCTACGATCACAATCATGACTCGTTACGCATCGAATTCCTGTTGATACCTTGTGCCCTGCTCTCATTGGTGATTAATCATGAGTTCACCGTGATGGAGGTGCTCTGGACATTCTCGATCTATTTGGAATCGGTTGCCATATTGCCGCAATTGTTTCTGGTTAGCAAGACGGGCGAGGCTGAATCGATAACAAGCCATTATCTATTTGCACTTGGCTCGTATCGTGCTCTATATCTGCTCAACTGGGTCTACCGCTATATGGTCGAATCGCACTACGATCTGATTGCGATCTTTGCCGGCGTTGTCCAAACGATTCTCTACTGCGATTTCTTCTATTTGTATATTACCAAAGTGCTCAAGGGCAAAAAGTTACAGTTGCCAGCATAAGCAGCGAGCCAGCAACAACAATTCCACAGGAAGCAGACGAGAGACGAGCAATAAGTGAAGATGCGGACCGCTTATCAAAGCGTTAATTATAGTTCTTAATCATTTAACAACCACAAAAAACAACAACAGTAGCAGCGTGAAAAAGATATTGTATATCGAGAGAGAGAGTGGAGAAAATCATTTTTGTTGCATTAGTTTAAAGAACGTATAAAATTTTAATTGTGGCACCGTTTAATATAAAAATGCATATAATACCAACTCATGCAAATTATTAAAGTATACAGAATAATGTACAAAAACTCTATTCATTATGATTTCCATCTGCATTCACAAAAAACAAAACCAGCAATCCAGCAATCTGTATACATGTTTATTTATATGTATATGTATCTTAACTTACCTACAACCAAAATCAAAATCTTTACAAATTATTTAGTTTAATTTAAACATAATAAATCCACCAGTTCTATCAGCGTTTCTGGTCGGTTTCGATATAAAGCGGACATCGTTTATAATGTATTCACCTCAAAACTTAATTTTTAAGGACGCGAAATATCCTGGCTTGATCGTACAATAGCCTGTTAAAATCACTATCCATCGCGTATGAACAGGTTTTGCATTAAATAGTCAACAGTTTATTACTTTTCCAATCTGACGCATAGCGAAATTATTATAGTTTTAAAAATGGAAATAATGTCCCTCATCCGAATAACAATTAGTGATGTAAACCAAATTCTTGAAAAATTTTAAACATAATTAAAATAAAAAACTGATACTTTGAAAAGTCTGTTTTTGGAACTTTATTACCTAGAAGAAAAATTTCGAAAATAAAAGTGCTACAAAACCCACTGTTCCACCGATTACTCAAGTTTAAACGATTATTTTGTTCACTAAACTTATTACTTATCATCTCTATGCTGAACCAGTCTAATTGGAACGTACAAATAAATTGCAATTCATTTAGCATAACGACACTAGTGAAAATATCAAAGGTTAAGCGATGATTTTTTTTTCACTCTTGATGCCTATCATCACTAAGCTTTACCAGTCGAACTGGCACATAGAAATAACAAGAGCCTCCAAAAAGCTTAAGCGATGAATTTGTTCACGGAACTTATTTATGCCGATCATCACTAAGCCGAACGAGTCCAATTGGAACGCACAAATAAATAAGAATTTTGCAAGGCTCGAAAATGTCGTCAAACTTTCGATATCATATGCTGAAAAGCGTAAAGCCATATTCCGTATATATGCCACAATTGACGAAATCGTCGCTGCGTGTTCTCATCCAAGTTTCTGTGCATTACATCGAAACAAAAAAATCGTCGCCCGATGTTTTAGCGCTGGCAATAAACAAACTCAAAAATGCTGGACACGAAGTCCCCAAGAATTTCTGCGAACTGTTTACAATGGTGCTGCTGATAATGCAAATGTATTTGCGCTATCCAAAAGGTGTTGTCAAAGATCAGGAGCTGCGCCAGTGCCTAACTGATGATCTCAGGTAACATTTACCATGCACATTAGATCGAATTGATATAAATTAATAGATTTAATCATTAGTTTCACAGATGTCTGTGCAGATGATTTGACAAAGGTGCTGCTCAATCATCGCACAACGCTTAGTCGAAATTTTGCCGAAACTAAAATGGAAAGGGCCAAAATGCAGGACATGCAATGGCGCATAAATATTTCGTTGAGCTCATCGTAAGTAGATTCTATTTCCGCATAATAATTATTCTAATAAATATTGCACTCTTTAGCATGGCTCAGCTGAATAAGCCAACGATTGTGTTGCACTTCAAATTGAACAATGGAGAATATCGCACTTTGGAGTTGCCACTGACAATGTTTCAACGTTTGCGCTACAGCGTTGCAATGTTGCTCAGCGAGTTGCAAGCCTTGCAGAATCGTCCTGTTTTGAAGCAGTTCTAATTTATAAAAATAATTATTATATATAAAAATGTTGTGCTGTTATTAAATTAAGTTAACTATCAAAATTAGCTTAAGAAATATTGAATATACAAAAGTAAGTTTATTCTTTATTCACTGCATTTTCGCTTTTTAATTGATTTTTCGTCAATTAAGTGTTTACATTTTAAAGAACTGTTTTCGCGTTTCTTGGCTGTAATTTTCTGGTGTTCTTTGAATAGTTTGTCCAAAGCTTTTACATATTCTTGTGGCAGAGTCCATTCTGCAATGTTGGAATGCTTTGTGGGATCCGATTCATCGGAATAATCTGGAATTTCTATGCCCAGACGTTTGCATACTTTTGTTAATATATCGTCAATATAACTAGATATGCCTAAAAATGCTTTCTTGTCCTGTAATCATAAAAAAAGCAAAAATAATTATAATTATAATATATAAATTTATATATTTCAACGTACATGTTTTGTTGGTTGCAGGTTGCAAATGACAAGTTTACCGCCATGTTTGAGATTTTTAAGTGGCAAATTGCCGCTTGGAACGATTTGTAGCGTGGTGCCCAGTGTAATATTAAGATCAGCTAATCTATTATTGGAGAATATATATTAGATTTATGGGAAAACTGTAATATGCACATTTCTTACGTGGAATGCATAAATGCCATATCTAGATCCCGTTCCGGCAGATCGTGTTCCCAATCCAGGACATTGTCGTGCATAACTCCACCACGGCAACTTCGACTATTGTCCATATCAATGGATCTACATGGAAGATCCAATAGTTTTTGACCCACCTTTTCCACAGCAGTTTGGCGAACAAATTGTCGACGACATTTTTGGCATTGCTCAATAAAAATATTGCCATGAAGCTCCGCTAAATATTTGCGATCAAGTCCCGATTTTAAATGAAGTCCATCAATGTTTTGCGAGACGATATAATGAACATATCCGTGGTCGACTAAAGCCCGCAGTGCCATGTGAGATTTTGTTGGCTGTGCTTCGTCAAAAGATATGTTAAAAGTAGGCTTTTCACCTTTTTGCTCAAGCGTCCAGACTCCTTTAGGACCCCTGAATTGATGATTATAATTGTTGTTTAAATCATACTTATTTTTATTTTAATTTGTTATTTACCTAAAATCTGGTATACCAGCCGATGTACTAATGCCTGCTCCTGTGTGGATTACAACATGTTTCGACTCTTTTATTAAATTTGCCAACTCTTTGCATTTTTGGTTGACAATTTCTTCGCTGTCAAAGTTCTAAAAATTATAATTAATATGCCATTGCATATATATAACGATTTATTGCTTACTTCTGGTACACCTAAGACGCCCTTATTTTCGTATGCTGACAGCCCTTCCGCATAATTACAACTCATTGTATATTTATTTATTTTATTGTTTGATTCAATTTTTTAGTTTTTATTTGTACATGTTTGTTTATGTTTACTACTGATAGAGGAACAACTTCGACTATCGATACTTCTGCACTATCGATAGTTTTAGTATCGCACAATAATAGCAATCAGCTGTTCGATTCACATGTTTTTTGTTTAGTTTGTAGTCAAAATGCAGTTAAAAATCTCAAAAAATGCATTGCAAGTTTGTGGACAATTTATTCAGCGAAATTTGTTTCAATTCGGGAAACGGTATGATCTTTTATATATAAAGTTTGTCATCGTACACCTGTCGCTTATTCTTTCAGTAGCACAGTTTGAAATTGAATGAACTGTAAACTATAATATTCAGAAATGATGAGTTTAAAAAACAATATATTATACAACCAATTATGATGAATTATAAGAATATCAAGCGGTTTTCGCCATGTGATATTTTAAATTATATATAATGTTATTTGCTTTTACTAAAGTAAATGTAAATTATGGAAGTATTTTATATAGAAATGCATCTCTGTTTTCCAGGGATAAGGGCCAATGGGATAAGATAACAGCCACCGGCAATGTTTCGGAAGAGCGCAGCGTTCCTGAGCACATAATAAAACCGCCCTACTACTACAAACAAATGGGTGCAGGCAACACAATGGGAAGACCCGAAATAAAAACGGCAGACCAAGTAAATCAGATGCGATCCAGCGGCAAACTGGCCGCCCAAATTCTTCGACAATGTGGCCAAATGGCGAAAATCGGCATGACTACGGATGAGATCGATGAGTTTGCCCACGAGCGCATTGTGGCACACAATGCATATCCATCGCCGCTGCGTTACGCCGGATTCCCCAAGTCCGTGTGCACCTCCATTAACAATGTGGCTTGTCATGGTATTCCGGACGATCGCCAATTGCTCGATGGCGACATCATTAACATTGATGTAACAGTTTATTTGAATGGTTATCACGGGGATTGCTCCGAGACCTTCTTGGTTGGTGATGTAGACGAGCGTGGACAGTATCTGGTTAACTGCACGCGCGATTGTCTCAGCAGATGCATAGCGCTCTGTGGTCCGGGCGTTGCATTCAATGAGATTGGCAAATGCATTCAGAGATTTTGCAAGGATCATGATCTGGAATCGGTGGCAGCATTTATTGGCCATGGCATAGGCAGCTACTTTCATGGTCCGCCCGAGATCTATCATTACGGTAAGATCTGTAATAATTAAATATATAATAACTTTAATTATTTACATTTCTCTGTTTGTAGATAATGAGGTGCCTGGTCAAATGGAGCCCGGCATGACCTTTACGATTGAGCCAATCTTGTCTCTCGGTGGTGGAGAGATTGGCATCTTGGAGGATGGTTGGACAGCACTCAGCTTGGATAATTCTCGAAGTGCACAATTCGAGCATACAATTCTAATTACCGATTCTGGCGTTGAGGTGCTCACCACAAAGGATGTCTGATAGCCGTCGAGTGAAGGATCAATCAATTTGTATATAATTTTGGTGTGAATATTTATTGCAAAGTTAAGAGCCTTCTATTTTTAACATAAAGAAGTGTGTTGTTAATAATAAATACTTATGCCGGCTTGCATGATAATTTATTTCTTTAGTCGCGTGATTTGTTGTTTGTTGAAGTTAAATAAATTGGTTGCTTAGCATTCGTCTTTGCGTTAATCGGAATGCGTTTAATGTGCATATATTGGGGAGTTATTTGTGTACGACTAACTGCATATGGCATTTGACTTTTGAACCGGTTTCTGTATCGGCAGGAACAGTTTGAATTCCGGCGGCAGTTCATCCTCAGAATAGAGTCGATCCGAGAAATACACACGACGTATTCGGCAATTTGCATGGATTTGGACACGCAGCGTCTCCACGTAGTTGGTGCCGTAGGCGCGTCGCGTAAAATCTGACAAATTGAATTGAATCTGGTTCCAACCCTCATCCAGACGCATGGGCATTGTGCATATGAAGGGCTTCACCCTGGTGGTCGATTGATAATTGCTAGCCCGAAACCGGCGTCGCACATTCTTGTCGTCAAGAACCTGTTTAGGCAAATATTCAATTTAATGATTAGGGTTGCAGATGGAGATGCATGAGATTTACCTGTACTTCGAACGTAAAGTATTTTTTCATGTTCTTAATGATCATCACCAGAAATGGCAATTTGATGCCGAGCGTCTTCTTTGGATCTGCCGGACATGTTATGAACGTTGTACTCACATTGGTCCCCACAATTTCGAGAACCAGGCTCTGTATGTCATTGTCAGTGATGCGCTTAATGTGTCCGTTGCGCACCTTCTTGTCCCACAGCTGCAGTGGCTTGGAGCCAATGCTATATAGAATCGACAAGAATCCCGATTGAAACGTGTTTTTGAACATTTCGCGCAATGAGATGAATGGTATTCGACGCTTGTCAGCGGTAAATCGAGCTTTCGCAATTTTTTACTTGGCCAGTTTTGGGGATCGCTGACCGATCAATTTTGCTCAGCCGGAATTTGTTGGGTTTACGACACACAAATACAAAAGTGAACGAATTTTCTTATGTCAATAAAATTGTAAACAACAATGTGTTGCTATTAGCAACACTGATGTTGAAAACTGCCTATCGAGTTTCCAACTATCGCATTGCCTTTTGAGCATTCAACTATCGGGAGTAAAGCCAATTTATCGAATTGAGCAAATTACAAAAGCTTTTGTTTATTTTTTCGAGTATTATCTTTAATATATCAAAATCAAGTACTAAGAGATATTTATTGTTTACAAATACAAATCAAAATCTATTCTATTGCTCGAGTAAAAATTAGAATTTTCTCCAACTTTGCGCACATAGACGCCATTCTTAAAGTAATCGCCTTGCGACCAATTGTACATTTTCTCTGTACTGAATGGGCCCTGAATTTCCTCATCAGTCTGCTTCCATTTGAATTGCCATTGAAGCTCATTTGTACTAGGCTCAGTGTCCTCTTTCGAATCCTTTAAAAGTTTGGATTCTTTCTCCACGAAATCATCAGCATACATATCAAAAGATTCCCCCGCTGGCTTGCTGGTGCTTGGCAAATCTTCAAGCTTTTGCTTAATCTTCTCGTACGTTTCCTGATATATGTCCATATTACCGGTGTTTGTAAGAATCTCATTCGCCAGTTCGGTTAACTTGGATATTTGTTGCGATTCCGTGTTTTCAATGCCAGCCTTCTTCTGTCTCAGCTTTTCGAGTGTGGTTAACTTTGGCCTCTTGCGTCCCAATCTTTGCAGGGCCATTTGAACACTTTCGCCCGGCTTCATGAATTCCAGCATTTTGCCAAATGCCATTAACAGATTGAATGGTTTCACAGTGAGACCATCGGCCGAGTTTTGTTCCTCATTGTTTGGATCAAAGTAGTTCTTGTCTTTCTCTACCTAAAGTATCAATTTGATTAGTAATTCAATACTTAATTATGTAACTACTTGAAACTTTTAAATAGTGACTTTACCTTAACCCAGTCAATGTTATCCAACCAGTTATCCTTAATTTCCGCTTCTTTGTTCCAATGATAGTGTCCATCCTTATCGAAATGACCCTCTTCCAGCTCCTCGCGCATATTGAATGGCGTTATTTTGACATCATCTTCAACTTTGCCAACGCCTTCCTCGCCACCTTCAATGTCGCTATCGTTCAGATTGTCACTACAATAAAATTAAGACACATTAAAATCTGTAGCTAAACTCGAATAATTCTCTCATTAACGTCTACTCACCGCTCGTAGTCATCCGAGTCCTCTTCATCGGAGTCGAGTGTGTGTTTCTTTTTAAATATTTCACCATCAGCTAAGCCAAAATTCTGTTTTCTCTTCGATGCCATCGTTATATATATTTCTTTAGGTTGCCTCAGTGTAATTTAGTAACCAAATGAACATAAATATTATTGTTTTTATTTCTTACAGAGTTGCACTGAATGTTCGATTGAACAAGGTCCGAAACACTGGCTCACGCAATCTAGTTCCGAGCAATAAGCAAATAAAATTAGTATCGATAACATTAGCGCTTTCAACTCTAATATACTCAATGCTTGTTTTATAAAAACAAAAAATGGTAAGTATTTGTTTAAAGCGTTTTCATAGGTGAATAAACCAACTAAAATCCTTAATATGTTATTTAAATGATTTTAGCTACCGTTGTCACTATTGAAAACAGCTCAAAGTCATCCTATGGTAAGTTTGCAATGTTTGTGCCAATTTTTTTTTTTGGATTGTTTGTATTTGTAATTGACTTATTTTTTTCAGCTGGTGGAGCTTAAGAATGGCGAAACTTACAATGGACACTTGGTAAGCTGCGACTCCTGGATGAATATTAATTTACGCGATGTCATCTGCACATCAAAGGTATGAATTAAACTCGCAACCGGCTTCGAGCACCGGCATGCAAGTGCAAAAATTGTAATAGCTGAGAATTATTCTGGTTTCGTTTCGTTTTGCAGGATGGCGACAGATTTTGGCGCATGCCAGAATGCTATATTCGAGGAAGCACAATTAAGTATCTGCGTATTCCAGATGAAGTCATCGACATGGTGAAGGAAGATGCTCAGGCCAAATCACGAAATCGCGCCGAGATGAACAAAAATCGTGGCGGCAATTCCTCACAGAATCAAAATCAGCGTGCTCCCCGCAGCGGAAATCGCAATGGTTTCGGTGTACGCAATGGGCCAGGAGGTGGTGGGGGCCTGGGGAATGGCAATATGCGTCCTGGTCCATCAGGACAGGGCAATCGCCCGCCCGCCCAGGGCAACAAACTTAGAAAGTAATGTAATGTAATATTGATACATGATTAAAATAGCAACCCTCTTTCGTTTCCATAAATTCCACCGCATTTTAACAACGATGAGAGTCGATTTGTGCCAATTAATATCGTTTTAGAGTTCCGATATAATTATCGAACATTTGTGGTCATCTATCAAATCATCGAAAAGGAATCGCTATAATTGCAGCATTTCTGACTGCTGATAAAACATTTTCAAAAAACAATGAGCTCTCAAGAGGAATTGGATTCGACTCAAGTCGATGGGAATGCTCAAGTACAATTGCGCATTATAGAATTGAACGATTTAATTGAGAAAAACATACAGATAGGTAAGTGAAGGTAAATAGCAACAATAATTAAACTAAAGTCGCACTTTTCCACAGAACAACATATTGAATCGCGCTCATTTGTCGAGTCGGTATCGGATATTCAGAATATCTTGATTAAGGCTAATGAAATTGTAAACAGTAAGAGCGGTCGGCCAGTAAATCCCACCGAACTTGTGCTGGACACCGAGCTCCTTAAACGGAATCACGATGTGCTTGGCAAGGCCATACAAGTTGACTCAAATTTCACAGACAGAATGTTCTGCACGGCAATCGTAAGTGGAATTTGGAGTCCTGCAAATACAACTGATCACCCAAGCAGTGTGCAGGGCTCCTCAAATAACTGGGAATGGGTACATATGTCGTTCTGTGCCTATTCCTAGTCGATATGAAACAGTCCCGTCAACGTTTAAATAAAGACAAATCATGTTTTTAAAGATGACACTGAGAATTGGGATGAGATCTGCAGTCTCGCTTGCCAGAATGGAGTAACCTTTTTTACAAATGCTGCCATGCTACCCTTTATTGATGTACAACCAAAACAGCACATACCCAAACAACGCGCTCCCCGCAAGGTCACATCAAATGTAAGTTTATTAATATATATATATATATATATATATATATATATATATATATATATATATTGTATCTGATGCTTATTACTTTTTTAGGCAGCGGAGAAGCGTCCAACTCAAAGCGATAAACTTGAACGGCATGGCGAAGGCGCAACGGCTGTCAACCATGTTTTGAAACAGATTAAAAATATTTACCGTGCCGGCAACAATCAACCGATTCCATATTTTAAACTGATCTGTAATCCAAACAACTTTATGGACAGCGTGCAGAACGCATTGATAATTTCGTTTCTGAACAAAGAAAATCTGCTTACGCTTGAAAAGGGTGAAGACGGACTGCCTCAAGTGAGATTAAACAGCAATCCCCAAGATAGCTCTGAAAATGAATCCTATCAGGCCATCTCCACTTTGGATGTTGATCTCTGCAAGGTATTGATTAACATCGAGCAGTTTTTATAAATTTATTATATGTATATTTATTTATTACTTTACAGAAATATGCCAAGCACTATGATATCGTGGAACCAATGCTAAAGCGCACTGAATTCGATGAGAACTGATCAATATTCCTGTGGCAAACTTAGAGATATTAAAGCAAATATAAGTAGTTAGCGCATGCTCTTTACCTAATTTCATTTTCTCATTAAATAAAACAAAGCAAAGAGAAATAAAGCATAGATGAGATGAATTTGAAATGTACATAGTATATATTTTTGCTATTAAGATCAGAATGCCTTCAAATTTTCAGAATGTTTTAGTTGCGTTTCGGGTGTTTTTTATGGCACACGCACTTTACGCTGATCGCCGGCTGACTTAAATAAATAAATAAAATTGAATAATGTACAACAGAATGCACTTGATAAGGTATTTATTAATTGTTCTTTTATTAGCTCGACAGATAACCAGAGCTTCAAGTTACATTACATATGTACATACACATGTATATACATTTATATATACTCAGTCAAAATGTAGATTTTCATAAGAAAACTAGAGCTTTTGTGTTGTGTTTGTAGTAATCTGCAGTGGACTGAAAGAATGTTTGCCACATCAGTAATAATTTAATCACTGTCACCAATTAACCTTCCATTGGTCAAATTCGTGATTAATAAATCATTTGGGACTTGTGTTTTACAATCCAATTATGTTTTTTGAACTCAAACAATTACTATTTTATGTATTAATAATGATTTTTGTTTCTTAATAAATATTTTTTTTTTTTTTTGTTATTGTGCTGATTTTTGTTCCAGTGTCTTTATAATTTTGGCAACACTATTATTTTTGGATATACAGCAATGCGCCGCATCCGTCGAAGAAACTCATTCGGAGAACGGAAACACAACAGATTTAGGATTAGCAAAAACGGATCTGAGTGAGGATAGCGACGACGAATATACAGACTATGCGGATGGCAGTGAAGTCAGCAAGCAAACACGCCAGCGCAATCAGAGCACCTTTGAGCGGGTGGGCACATTCTACACGTGGGATCGCTGGGAGAAGTGGAGCAAATGTGCGACGACTTGTGTGCAAATCAAAAAACGCAAGTGCATCGAACGGTACGCATATTATTTATACTCTGATACCGATGTTATCCGAGTATATTAGTTTGCGAATATGCGTCATGCTGTCCGTCCGTACGAGCACGATTTTTACGATATATGATTGTCTGTACCCGCGTCGAACAAAGTGTTATAATTGGTGTGTAAAGTCCACTAGGAGGCTAAGTAATAGATAAAACCTACAATAGAAAATCTTAAAGCTAGAGTCACCAAATATGGTTGCTAGGTTGTTGGTCATGTCCTTTCAAAGAGCGGCACATTTAAAGGGTATATTTTAATAACACCCCTCCGAAAGTGACACAATCTTTTGGAGCCACTGCTAAAAAAAAGCCTGTAGCTCCCGTAACTTCAAAGCCGAATTTACTCCGGGATGACCTGCAAACTTCTTCAGGATTAGTAAACAAATTTCTGTGGCACGCCCATCCTTGCCATATTTTATTTGCTGGAATTATATTGGTATCAGAGTATTTCGAAGCCGGTTAGACCCATGATTTTAAAAGAAACAAATTTTATTTATATAAATATTTTATCTATCTATCGCACTGAATAGCATCAAAAACTCCACAGATGAGTTGACGGTGGAAAATCGGTTCTATCCTGCGGATGGCAAAGTGGGTTGCTTTGGTGTGCTGAAACGTTATCGTCAGTGCAAGGAGGAGCGCTGCAAAGCTGGCAAGCAGCGATTGCGTGACGAGCAATGCGAAAGATTCAACAATGTGCCATATCGTGAGACGTTCTATAATTGGGTCGGGTACGAGAAAGAGCACGACGAGTGCACGCTGTTCTGCCGCGGCGCCGACTCCGACTTATTCATTAGTATGAACCAATCTGTCACCGATGGCACGCCGTGCAATCGTCCGGCCGTCTACTATACGCATTTCTACAGGCGCCAGGCTGTATGTGTGGAAGGCATTTGTCGGGTGAGTGCCGTGGAGTGTGAATAGGGTATTTAATTATCGATCAACTGGTGTCTATTATGGGGTAAGTGGCGTGGATTGTGACTAGGATATTTAATCTTCGATTAACCGGTGTCGATTTTCGGGTGAATAGCTCTAGTTTAGGGTATTTAATCTTCGATCAACTGGTGTATATTGTTTCTTCTGTCTAACATCTGTAAATAATAAGTTTGGCTCTTCCGGTTTGGGTTGGGATTTTAATTGCGCACATTTGTTTGCCAATTGCGAATTGAATTCTTTGCCTACTCAATAAAACTTAATTTTAACTCATGCGAAAAGTTGATGTCATCTGCTGGAGAATTTAGTGAAAACTCTCCTTATCTAATGACTACAGTCTAATCTACAAACTAATAATAATATATGTGTGCCATATACCATCTATAGTCGATCATTTAAATTAAGTTTTTTTTTTTTCTATCTCAACGTATTTGGCATTTAATGATGGCATTCAACAAGGGCAGCCACAATTCAATGTTCAATGCATTTGATTTCTGTTTATGGCCAAGTTAAATTGGCCAAAGCCAATTTTCACCATAAGCATGCAAATTGCCAAAGTGCTTAGCACACATACATCCATCTTTATAGCAATAGTTAGAAATATAGATAGGTATGTTGGTATGTGCATATATTGTAGGTACTCCTCCCACTACTACTTACCACTTGCCACAGTCCGTTAACTCTCGCTTTGTGGCGATGAGGGCCACACACATGCAACTGGTTGCTTGAACTGCTGCCAAATGTCATAAATCTTAATTAATATCGTTTGCCAATGATTTCCATATTCATTTGGCTTTCGGGTCTTTATTTTTTTTTCCAATTTATAATTTAATTAGTTTTGTGGCAATGTGGCAAGTAAAAGAAAAAGTATATAGATAATGGGACTATGCTGCCATTTGGGCTTTCTGTTGACATGACCCCATTATCGCCTGATAATTACAAATACTTACATACAGACATACATACATGTGTACATACATGTATGTACATGTATGTAATTAGCCCAGATACAAAGCCTTCATATTGTTTTCATGCTTCATGCTTGATGCTGCCTGCTCTCGCAAGAGAACTACAAAAAAACTGTGTCAAAACATTCAAGTGGCTCTTAGGTGCATTAGATTAGAGCTGCGAGTGTGAAATATTCATTTCGAAAAAGATCAAAGCACTCACCGAACTGAAAACCAAACCATTTCTCTTCTATTTGCAAATCTCTCGTTTTTTTTAAAACCAGAATTGATTTATGCCAATTGCAGGCTGTTCACAGCAGCGGCCTAATTCGACCTGTGACAACTCGTGATAGTCAAGTGAAATGTGGTTCGGTCCTGTGCAAACATGTATCGGAGATATTCAACAGGACCAATCTAAACAAATCGTATAACTATATCACCACTTTACCAGTTGGCACAATGAATCTATCGATTAGACAAAATATAAAAAGCAAGAATTCATTGGGTAAGTTTATGGATAAAATACCATTAAGCATTCAATATATTGTCTATTAAATCTATATGTTTTCAGCATTGAAAAGCCCCGACGAAGTGTTTGTCATAAATGGCGATCGAACCAAGATATCAATCAATGGCGTTTTCAATTTCTATAATGATGCCTATGAATACAATCAGACAAATGGCTTGCTAACATCAAGGGGGCCGCTTTCAAAGGCAGTGATTTTAATGGTAATGGCAAAAAGTAAAAAAAATAAAATAAGACATAAATAAAATTGGATATTTGCAGTACTTTTTAGCAGACATACAGAGCCCAATTGTTGATATTCAGTATAACTACACCATACCGATATCCTCGCCCTCCATCAGCGAAGAGGAGGAACTCCAGGCCATCTGGGATGAGGCTGGCAATGCCGTCGATGCCAGCTATGCACAGCGCATCAGGGATCGCAAACGTCGCAAATTTAGCTGGAAATTGCTGGGATTCGGTGAATGTAATCGCTCCTGTGGACCCGGCACTCAAACACCCATCTTTCGCTGTGTGTGTGAGCGTGAATCCTCAGTGCGATATTATTCGCCCCGACGTTGTGCACTCATCGAGAAGCCCACCTTCCATGACGGCATCTATAATTGCAATCGTGGCCTCTGCCCGGCTTTCTGGCGTCCGAGCACCTTCAGCAACTGTCAATGTCCCGATGGCAATTCCAACGGACAGCGAACACGACACTATGAATGCATGCAGGAGCAGATCGGGGGCAACGTCATGCAAGTGACAGACGAACTATGTCCTCAGCGACATGATCAACCTGAGATCTGTCGTTGTATAAGTAAGAATCTTAAGGTCAACAAGTATGGCCATTAAATTGTTTCTAACAATATTTAAATTATTATAATATAAAATATAATATTATACAAGCGTGCTCCAAACTACGCATAACTTTTCCCTTTTCAACAAGGAACGATTTTCCGCTTTCCCTTTTCAAAAAGTTTTTTTGCGAATTGGAGCATGCTTGGTTAAATGAATTTCAAATTCAATACCAGCTCGTCTATAAACAAACCCCATTTTGGGAGTGGGCACGTTCCTTGTGTGAATTGGTCTTAATATATTACACAGAAGTCAAAGAAGCGGGTCAATAAAGACGATTATCCATTTAAAATCTATGACTTTGTGGCGCAATTAATGACCCACAATGCGTCTTAAGCTCAGCTCACAGATCTTCTTTTCATTTTCAATTGCCCACAATAGAGAATATCAAATCAATTAAGGAGAACTATTAATTAATGATGAAATCAAATGAAAATATTCAATTCATCTGACTTGCCTAGACGAATTCACGAATTCCGGCAACTATCAAGTTACGCTGAAGATTTTTTTAATTTTACTCTCATTTCTAACAATTACTAAAAAGAATTTAGAATGTTGAATTGGCGCAGCTTTCGAACAGGAAAAATAAAAGCCGTTTACAAGTAAATTTATGGATCTGAAGAATTAAATGATTTTTGGGAATGCAGCAAACAATTCAATTGTTATAAAAATTTTAATTGAACTTTATGGTAATTTTATGCCCAACTCTTACTTGAATTTAGAAATCTAATGATAACCATAATGCCAGCATTATATCTATGTAAGTATTGTATGTTGTCAAACATTTATACTTAAAATATATAAAAACTAACACTTCCGAATTTATATCAATGTAATAATTTATCAAATTTAGAATGTTCCTCTGTCTGTATATTATTAACGGAGGAGACAACAAATGTTTTACACTCAGAAAAAACTTGGACTGAAATGTAGAAAATCGGCATACTCCCAAGCCGATGGGAACTCAGCTTATTATGCAGAATATATATTTCTAAAACAAAAGGTTTCGTCTTTCTAATAACCAGACTTATTCTTTTGTTGATTTCAGTTTAATTTTTTCTAAAATTTAGACACCATTTTTTAATTTTCAAGGGTGTTATTTTAAGTGAGCAAATTTAATTATTTTCAGAACTTCAGAGATTTAATATAATGATTGCAGTTTTGCTTTTTAAAAATAGTTTCGATTATTAGGTAATGTTTTAAATGTTTTTTTTTTGGTAGATCTAGTTTTTTTTTCTTCTAATTTTAAATTACATTTTTTCAAGTTTTTCTGTTTTCATCCATCTCTATATATTTAATCAATTTGTAGACACTGTTCTCATTACTGGGTATCTATTACCCTGTTGACTTGAGTTTTTCTACTCGTTTTATTGTCAAAAAGCTTATGCTTTTTATTAATGACTTAGCATATTTGAGAGGACTCATCATAATTTTCATTGTTGATCTATTTCGATTTGAATTTTTGGATGATTTGCGGAATTTATTCAGTTTTAATGTCAACTTGCCAAAATTAAGAAGCAATTAACAACTTCTCGTCTCGCATAACTGTTGTGCGACATTCTTTCATATCTGTTGGATGAAATTATGCCATCTGTTAAACAGCGCACATACATATATTTAATTATCTTTATTCTTCAGCAAACGATAACATTGTATGTTGAACTTTAACCACACACAATTCAAGCAAATGACATAACTTTAAGCTAATTTATGTGCACAAGTTTTGAATTTATTTTTAGAAAACAATAGATATAGTACACTTCTAATGTATACAAAAAAAAAAAGAAAAAAAGATAGCGGCAAGGTCTTTCTGATTGCTGAAGGGCTTCAGATGATGCCCCAACGGTTGCCTTGGGCAACTTTGATATTGTGACAGACCCTACAACGATTAGCATAACAAATATTTGATCTACTTAGATTTTAGGCGCATAACTCTATGGCAAACTTTGAATGAATGCACCTGTTTGTAGCCGAGTAGCCGGGCAACTCACAATGCTGTTCAGCCAACATTTCCGCTTGTGATAAAACAATGTGGATTTTATTTACACATGTTTCTACTTACATAAGTAGTATTTATTATATACGCATGTAGGATTACGAGTATTCTCTACTTACTTACTTAGTTTAGTTTATTTCAGTTTAGTTGTTGTGATTTTGAGTGCGTAAGAACAAATTTTTCACAGTCGCTTCGGTTTGCTAGTATAAGGCTAGAATAAGTATACTCGCGAGTACCCGACTAGTAGATACCCTCTAGCCAGCCTATCTTTTTTTTCTGCTCAATTTTCTGGTAATTACTATCCAAATTGCGTTAAAGATATCTGTAACGGAAATTAGTTTTGATTGGATTTGTATAAATTTGAGGAAAACTGGTTCCATTGGCGACGCAATTAAATTAAATTTATATTTGTTTGGCAAACGAGAGCTTTTATTTGAAATTTGAGATCGACAATCTCTAAATGAAGAAATTCAGAAAGAAGTCATCAGATTTGCTTTCCTTACGGTTAGGTTAGAGTTAAGCTGTTTTCTTCTTTAGAGGACTCGTAACTCAGAGGAAGTAATACAAGTCAAAGGGTCGAAAATACTCGCCGTAAAAACGTAATTTTCTTCAAACTATATATATATATTTATATATATTTTAGGCTTTAAATAATTATAAAACAATACAGAGCAGATTAAAAACAATTGTTTTTTTTTCTTATATATATTATATAATTTACTTTCGAAAGCAGTATTCTTTTCTTTAACAAAATCTGTAAATTAGACAAATGTTTGCCAAATTTTAGAAAATTTGACCCTGAAAGAAGGAAAATATAAACCCTTGCCTCTTTCAGAATAATTAGATGAGTTACACTTATTTTTTCCGAGTGTAGGAGTAGATCAAGTGTATATTGACAGAGATGCTACCTTTGGCCTTACAAACATTTGCCCAGCATTGTGATGACCATGTTTGATCCGTACAGGGTATCATAAATTACATGCACATGCGAGCACTCGCAATAACACTCACACACACAGACGCACTCACATACACGCACTCACTCACACACACTCACACCATGAGTGTGGTGCGTTCGCAGTGTAAGCACGCATCATCCAGCCTTATTTTTTTTTGTTTTTGGGCGCACGCCGCCAACTGCGAAGCCATCGGCAGCGACACCTCCCACCTCCTCCCTCGCAGTTTACAGTTTACAGTGTGTATTGTCGCCGGCCCAGTAGCAAATGCTGGCGTCTGCGTCTGCGTCGGCTGCGCTGAGGCTGAGGCTGTGACTGCGGCTGCGGCTGTGGCTGTGGCTGAGGCTGTCTTCATCGCGCTTCAATTCCCAAAACGATTTCCCAGCGATTTTAGTTTGGATTTGCGTACCACGCGATGTTGACGGCGGCTTTAATTGAAACGAAAATACAAAAATCGGGAAGCCAACGTAGTTGTTAGTTTTGGAGGCGGTTCTTTTTTTTAAAACAGAACGCCGAACGTGTTATCGACAGCAGACCCCTTGCCCCCATCGGCCCAGCACTTTAGTGAATATATTGTTGCCATAAAAAGTTATGATTAATTGTGTGTTCAGATTGAATGATTAAATGATTAATAGCAAATGCAAATCGTTCAATGAGTTATGAGATCTATAAAAGTGTCACTTTTAAAGTCCACAAATGCATTTGTGTGCATCTAAATACTACTTATTAACAAATTTATACGACATTAGGTAAGCGGAAATGTTAAAATCAAAATATAAATAACAACTTGTTAATGATTTCATTAATGAACATTACCCTTGAGCCAAATGCTAAGTAAAGTTAAAATTTTAATAGCTTGGATAATGCATATACTTAAAATTCCAAACGCACTTTTTACAATCACCATTTTCCCTAATAAAACCCATCTTAAAGACGTGTTTATAATGTATGGCCAACAATTTAACAGAGCTTCGGGGCCTTTTGAAGAATGGCATTTTTGTGAGGGCAAGTCAAAAATTATTGAATTGAATGTATAAAAAAACAGGCAAGAAAATCTTATCTCACACCGAAGTTTTACATACCTTTGAAGTCAAATGGCTTTAATTATTAATTTTTAAAAATATGCCGATAGTTCCCATTGATAATTTGGAATTATTTTGAAGTTAATGGTCTAAAAACTAAATAGTATTAATAAAATAATATAAGTTAAGCTCTTTTAGTTTTTGTATTCATTATTTAGAATTTATTCTAAAGAAAATCTATGAAACATTTCGATTTCAATAAAAAAAATATATTTATTTAATTTTATAATATGAAACCTAAATATTAAAAATCAACATTGGAAAGCTAAATAAAGAAGTGATATTTTATTATTTGAGCTATATATATTTTACTAGTGAGTTAGCAGAAATCGGGGTAAATAATAATGTTTGTGAAATGGAAAACCAAGTTTTTGCAATGGTAGCTGTATGATATAGAGGCTCGAACTGGCCAATATCAGTCAGCACGACTACGATCTGGCTGATCAAGAGCAAAAATATACTTATTGATGGCTGCTTCTATGGGCTTCCACACTCCTCGACAAACTTGTAATAACCTCTGGTAAGGGTATAAAAACCAAAAACCGTTTGAAATATGGAATATTTGATGGCTATGGGCATTTCATCGCAACGTCACAATTACAAAATGCACTTATGGCCCCAAATGACATTACAGCCTCCTTCTTGCCTTCATTCTCAAGTGCATCAATCAATCTTGCAAGTTTATTGTGTTCGTGGAGACAATGGCGACCAGATATGATATCCATGTATGTGAAGTCAAAAATGAAGCCATTAAGTTTTCTAGGTAGCTGAAGCTATCATTTTTTTTTTTCTTCATTCAAATATTGACTGAGTGTCTTTTGTGTAAAAAAAAAAACGTCCAAAGACTCGCTGAGATTTAAATCGAACAAATATTGCCGAGAAATGTTTTGAATGCAGTATTTACATCAATAAATAATATTATTTCATC